GAGGAGTAAGGGATGGGGGTTTGCAAAATAATGTTTTATTCTCTTTGGCATTAAGGTTGTTGCTTTATGTTTTATTGTTGCTGTTATAAGAATGCTGTTTTCGATGAAGGGATGGGAAAGTAGGGTTCATTCGGTTTACTTAGGCTATTCACATTGTACATGACGGTATAAAAAAACACAGAATCGCCATGAAATATAAAGTCTTTCCAGCTATGTATAAAAAGTAACAAAGCTCCATGATGAATACAAACCACCAAACACAAGAAAAAGTCCCTACGGATTGAGACAAATCGACTTCTAGCCCGTCATGTCAACGTCGGCATCCTCCTCAGGCTGCGCCGCCTGCCTCATATCCAGCTCAAGCTGATCACTAGGGTCATCGCCCCCCGCGTCCTTCTTCTCCCTCTCCTCGCCACGAAGAGACAGGGTGAAGGGGTTAGTCCCGGCCTTTGGCTGGCCGTTGACGGTAGCGGCGGCGGCCTTTGCGCTCTTGGCCTTTGCCCCGTTTGTCGCGGCGCGCGGGGGAGCGTCGGGGAGAGGCTCGCCGCGGAGGCGGGCTTGGTTGATGGCCTTTGCCTTTTTGAGGGAGACGGTTTTGGGGGCGACGTCTTCTAGGAATTCGAGGTTGTCGCGGTGTGAGATTGCGTTGGCTTGGGGAAAGGTTAGTTTTCTTGTGAGGGTGAGGGAGAAAGGATGGTGAGACTTACCGACGTCTTTGTACTGGATGTTGCGGCGAGGTTTGCGTTCCAGTTTTGCTTGGGTGTGGGCTTCCTCTGCGAGATGCTGGATGAACATTTCCTGTATGGCATGGCAAGGGTTAGTTGGGAGAAGCACGAAGAAGAGAGGAGAAGAGACGTACGGCTGCTAGGGTGATGACAAAGGCGGCGTTGTTAGAGCACATTTGGACGTCTGGGTCTTGGCTGATGATTTTCTTGACTCTTGATACTGGGAAGAGGAGGTGTTAGTTTTTTTCTCTGTATGGAGGATGATGATGGGAAGAGCTTACATGGGAGTTGGGTTTGACCGGTGGGCTCCTTTCGAGGAGGGATGGCGTTGGTGTTGTAGGGCATGGTTTCTGAATTCGTCGGGGATCGGGGGAGTGTAGGATTGAGTTGTCTTGATGAGTGTGTGGTGGTTGATGAGTGGGATGGCTTATGTGAGTGAAAGCTCGTGGATCACGCGCTGTGAGATGCCAGTCGTTTCCTTCGGGGGTTGTAGAGAGAATGAAGGCGTCTTGAAAGTATTTTTCTTGGATTTGTAACCTGATCAGGAGGATAGAGAGTATGAGTGTGTATAAGAGGTTAAAGTTGGGACTTGTTTTCTTATGAGTGGTTGAGAATTGGTGGGTTTGGGATGAGAAGAAGTTGAGTGGCTAGGGGGGAAGGTTTGGAGGCGTTTGGGCTCAGGGCAACATTAAGTAAGCTGCTGCTCAAGATATTTTGTAAGTGAGGCCGGGAAGTTTGCGAGGCTCCAAATGTAAGTGTTTTTTGGGCCCAGAAGAGTGAAGAAATGTTTCTCTCTATAGCAACAGTTTGTAGAGGATGACCGGGTTTTGGGCTGACAGACAAACGTCTCTTTTCCCTTCCAAATGCTCTTTAACAAGACGCGACGCTTTGACGCGACCTGGACTCCAGTTTCGTAGGGCGTCCATCCATCGCAAATAGGGCCGCTGCACCCACTAAAACGCCGTTTCTAGTGGGTGGTCTCAGCTGCAGAGCATGCACTAAGACGGAGTCTCTGCCCTGGGGATCTGCTGTTACAGCGGGGAGGTTGCATGAAGTGCCTGCTGCTCGGGGTGCTTATCTTATCCGCATCTGCGCAACTGCTGGCATCCATTTGATGTCGAGCTACAGCTACAGCTCTCTTTGCGACAACGTCGCATCCACGCCCTTCAACACCAGACCAAGCCGATCCGAACCGTAGAAACGACGACCGCAACTCTATACCAATCGTAGTCGCACCAAATTGAATCGAATCGCATCACATCGGACAGAGCTACACGCAAAAGACGTTGGCGATCGGCGCCCGCCCTCGATCGAGTTCAGCCATACAATCGCCATGGTGTGCATGTCGGAACTATGAATTCAACATCAATTTCTACGGCTGCGCTCAGCCCCGGCCTCTCACGGCGGCCGTCTATTAGCTCTCGAGTGTCCTTTGCCGTGTCCAACGCAGAGCAGGGAGAGGCGTCGAGGGAGGGCCAGATTGAAGACGAGATCGCCGAGATCAAGAGATATGAGGTGAGCGAATGCGTGTTACTATGGCATATGTATCTGCTGGCGCTGACACCTTATGGTATTTAGGACTTTACAACAATAGGTGAGAAGCGAAACAGTCACTCAGAGGCGCATTTCCACGGACTAGACTGACCCCGAAGCAACACAGACTGGGTGCAAGATGCGGCACGAGAACAGGCGCGGCGCAAGGCTCGTAGGAAGCGCACGGCGGGCGTGTACAGACTCGGCCAGCCCGGCTGGAGATATCGGATATGGGAATCTTACGACGCCGCGCAGGGCTGGATCGTCGTCACCATCATCGGCGCGGCTATTGGGTTGAATGCGGCGTTTTTGAACATTGTGACGGAGTGGCTGGCTGATATCAAGACGGGCTATTGCACGACGGGGTTTTATCTCAACGAAAAGTTTTGCTGCTGGGGAGAGGACAATGGTAGTATTCTCCTTGAAATTATGCAAATCGCTGTGATCCGTGTCGTTGGATGACTGACTGAGTCTTATTGCAGGCTGCGAACAGTGGCATCGCTGGACTGGCTTTGGTCCCCTCAACTACTTTATCTATTTCTTATTTGCGGTAAGCAACCTTGTTTTTAACTCTACGTATCTAACCTGAATGTACAAGTATTCTAACTCTGCGGGCAGACCTTGTTCGCTTGTGTATCAGCCACACTGGTCAAGTCATACGCTCCGTATGCAGCGGGATCTGGCATATCGGAGATCAAGTGCATCATTGCTGGCTTCGTCATGAAGGGCTTTCTCGGCTTTTGGACTCTGCTGATAAAGTCCATCTGCTTGCCCTTGGCCATCGCCTCCGGCTTATCTGTTGGAAAAGAAGGCCCCAGCGTCCACTACGCCGTCTGCACTGGCAACGTCATCTCGAGGCTGTTCAATAAGTACAGGAGTAATGCGGGAAAGACTCGCGAGATTCTCAGTGCCTGCGCCGCCGCGGGTGTCGCTGTCGCCTTTGGCAGTCCCATCGGAGGCGTGCTCTTCTCGCTCGAGGAAATGTCGAGCTACTTTCCGCTCAAGACCATGTGGCGCAGCTATTTCTGTGCTCTGGTCGCTACGGCGGTCCTGTCTGCGATGAATCCCTTCCGGACGGGGCAGTTGGTCATGTTCCAGGTGAAATACGACCGGGATTGGCATTTCTTTGAGATTGTCTTCTACATCATCATTGGCATTTTCGGCGGACTGTATGGTGCCTTTGTCATGAAGTGGAATCTCCGAGCGCAGGCTTTCCGGAAAAAGTACTTGACAAAGTACGCCGTATTAGAGGCGACGCTCCTTGCGGCGGGAACCGCCATTATCGCCTATCCCAATGCGTTTCTTAGAATCGACATGACTGAGAGCATGGAGATTCTCTTTCTCGAGTGTGAAGGAGCAGAGAACTACCATGGGCTTTGCGATAAAGACCAGAGGACGTGGAACCTCATCTCATTAATTCTCGCGACGGTGTTGAGAGTGCTTTTGGTCATCATCTCATACGGTTGCAAGGTGCCGGCCGGTATCTTTGTCCCGTCCATGGCTATTGGCGCCTCGTTTGGGCGGACTGTCGGCATCATCGTCCAAGCCATATATGAAGCAAACCCAAGCAGCGTCTTCTTTTCCGCCTGCAAGCCAGATGAGCCATGCATCACGCCCGGCACGTACGCCTTCCTCGGTGCGGCGGCAGCCCTGAGCGGTATCATGCATCTCACCCTGACTGTGGTCGTCATCATGTTTGAGCTTACCGGAGCGCTCACGTACATCCTGCCAACCATGATTGTAGTCGGCGTGACCAAGCTTGTCAGCGAAATGTTTGGCAAGGGCGGTATTGCTGACCGCATGATTTGGTTCAATGGCTTTCCATTTATTGATAGTAAGGAGGACCACAATTACGGCGTCCCAGTCTCTCAGGTCATGCGAAGCTCCGTCGTGTCTCTGCCTGCCAACGGGTTGACACTCGCCGAAATCGAACAGTTGCTGGCCGAGGCCAAGTATCAGGGGTTCCCTATCGTGTTGGATAGCAACTCCAAGACGCTGTTGGGATACATTGGCAGGACTGAGTTGCGGTATGCCGTTGATCGAACAAAGCGCGAGCGCCCCGTTTCTCCAGATGCAAAGTGCATCTTTTCACCGCATCCGATTCAGACTCCAGCCATCACTCCGATTACACCTGCATTTCGTGGAGATGTCACGGCCTCGTCACCTCTTGATTTCAGCCGTTATGTCGACGCTACGCCTGTGACGGCGCATCCTCGCCTGCCCCTGGAGACGGTGATGGAGCTGTTTCAAAAGATTGGACCTCGTGTCATTCTCATCGAGTATCACGGGAAGCTCTCTGGTCTGGTAACCGTCAAGGATTGTCTCAAGTACCAGTTCAAGGTGGAGGCAGCTGAGAACCCGAAAGACGACCAGCACGTCATTGAGGGACAAGAGCATCTGTGGAGCGCGCTTCGCAGAGTGGGCTTTTGGGTTTCGAATTCGGTGTCGTCGGTTTCGCGGGGGCATATTAGACTTAGTGGGCAATTTGACGATGAGCGGACGCGGGCGAGTGGGAGGAGAGAGGCTATCTTGGATGGGGACGAGGATGGCGTTGATGAGGGCGTTGAGCTGGAAAGGAGATAGACTGGATTGGCATTTTGAATACGGAGCGGAGGCGCTATAGAAGCGTTGCTTTTTTTGTCTTTCACTTGCCTTGTGTGTATATACATTGATTTGATATCTAAAGTGCGCTATGCTACTATGATTTTGAATTTGACGACCAGAACAAACATGTCATGCCGCTCAGCTCCGAAACTCTCCCAAGTCAGGGATGTCCTCATCGCGGTATCTTTCACCTGCAACTACATCTTCATCCAGCTCAAGGTTACTACTCCCCGCAGGCACGGGCTCATACGCCTCGCCGGCGGCGGCATCTTTCGCACCATCCCCTTCGCCCTCGTCCTTACGGCCCGCAATGACGCTGCCGGCGACGAGGAGCGATGCGCCGGCCCACCACATCGGGGGCAGGGCCTCTGAGAAGATGGCGAAGCCGGTGAAGGCGGTGACGAGGAAGTTTGTGGAGGTGTTCATGATGGAGACTTGGGTTGCGGATTTGCCGCGTGCGAGGGCGGTGGTGAATAGAGACCACATCTTTTTGCGAGAGTGAGTGAGTGAGTGAGTGAAAAGTGTTGAGTTTGTGAGATTAAAAGGAGGGATGAGTGAGACACTTACGATACCGTTGAAGGTGAGGTTGAGGATGAAGAAGATCTGTGATGTAATTTTGTTAGTTTTGTGTCATGATTTTAATTGAGGATGTGAAAGGGAGGGGTTAGACGTACGCTGCGGACGATGATTTCGACGATTTGGGAGTGGGATTGTATTCCGAGGGTTTTGGCGATGGCGGTTGATAGGTTTGTTGTGAGTTCTGTGGTGGTTCTGAAGTTGAAAGACGGTGTTAGTAAATACACATCTGCATATATACTTATTCTCGTTGTCCATGTTGATGGCTTTATTCATGACATATATTTATATATATATGCACAAATTCTACAGGTAAAGCATTCATAGATGAGAAAGAATGGTAAAAGTTGAGAGGAGAACCTACAGCTTCGCAAACACGCCGTTAAACGCCGCACAAGCACCGCTCGCGACAGCGAAAAACATCCAATGCTTTCTCCACGAGGGAGATTCCGGGCTGTCCATCTTGGCGGCTGCAGCAGCAGAAGACGAAGAAGCGGATTTGCCGGTGCTGGAGTTGTTGTTGTGAGGTCGGGATTCCGGAGAGGTCGGTTTGGTGGTGGCCCGCCGTTTGCGCGCGTCCATTGCGGTTTTGTTTGGGGATTACTGGATTCGGAAGATGGGCCGTATTAGGTAGGCAGTGGCTTTTTCTGTTTTTGTTGAGTTTTATGTGTGGTTGAGGGGGGAGATTTGGGATTAGAGTAATGGGAAGTATATCTGAGGTTTGGGAATAAAATATGAGAGATTGATTGATGTTGTATTTTGACGATTCGTTGGTAATTGCCAGCAGAGTCCAATTAAGGCTGATGAGGACAGCTGGAGTGTGAGTGTTAGAAGCACTGAAGCCACAGCAGACAGACAGTGAATGGGAGTCTATGGTTCACCGCCACAGTGGCGCTCTTGCTGCTGTGGCTCTCGTGACGCTTCTCAGCTCCAGGGGCGGCCCCGGGCACATGTCGAAACTCATTGTCACAGTACATGGCCCTCAACACAAGAATATCCTCAGTAAATATGTATTATTCATCTTGTCTATTTCATCCATGGCCCAATCAAGACCCAGTTTCCCAATATTTGCTGAAAAGAGGAATCAATGCCTTGTCCGTGTATCCGTAAACCCCCCAAAACGCCGTAAACTGCCAGTCCCATTGCCGATATTGATGGTATGTCTCCCTGCTGTATCTGTCCTTGACCCATTCCCGTCCATCGGCATGTATATAAGCACGTAATTCCTTTGTCGTGGTTTACTGTCCTTCGCCGGGTCTCCTCGCGTTGCAGCTGACAATCTTGACCTTGTCCGCCTGAACAGACACGCTGCCGTTGTCCATCTTGAACGTCACGTTCTTGATGAGGAAAGTCCAAACTTCGTCGCAGAATCGGTATGTATCCAAGCTTCCCTGTTTTTGTAACACTCGTCAGTCCCCCCTTCGACTCGACACAAGACCCGAGAAGTCCCATGGGGGTTGTAGTGTGTTCGCATTTACCTTGAATTGGAGCCGGCTCTTGACGTTCTTCTGGAGCGCCTCGGTGATGGCTTGGTCAAAGTTGCCTAGGATCTTCATTGCCAGCTGCGGGTGGATGCGCTCCTCGCTGATCAGATCGTCGAGCGTGTCGGTCAGGGCAAGGCCGATACTGCGAAGCATTAGAAACGACGTCTCTCTGTGTGATGGCGGCGGTTGAGTGGCGCATTACCTGCTCCGGCGGTAGAGCTCATAGAATGACTGTGCGCCGCTGGCCATGATGGGAGATGCAAGGATAAGTACTGTAAATGAGTGATGGGCTTTGAATCGTCGGGATTTGAAGAGAGAGACGATGCGCCTTGTGAGGATGTTTGGGCCAAGTTCCCGTGAGTCGGGATTGCTGACAGAAGAGTTGCAGCCTAGCGCAAGTTCAATGTCGGCAGTGATTCTGACTAAGGCAATGAAAGCGCTGGAGGTGTCTTGTATCACTACCTACTTATAAGGCTAAGCGCACTGGAAGTATGAACTGGCCTCCGACTCGATGCACCCCGGAGAGCTAAGCGCAGCAATCCGGATGAGTCAGCAGCAAAGGGGAGCACGTCTGTCATGTGACGTCGGCCATTGTCGCGCCTCTGTGCTCCGAGAGCTTGAGCCAAGCTTGCAACAAAACGACGAGCCCCAGCACTTTTGCTTCGACAACCAGCCGCAAAGCACCAGCATCGTGCAACATACAATCATGAGTCTCACGTACGGAGTCGGAGGAATCGGGTCGTTTCTGACCGTGGTGGGAGCTTGTACGTGCCTCCCGTCCTGACCTGGGCATCGTGTCTATCCCATCCATACATCGTCGTCACCATCGTCAACAGCATCAATACATGTACCTCAAGTTAAGAATGGCTGCGACTAACACGCAGGCAATCGTCAACAGACATGCTCTTCACCGGCAGCGGCGAGTCGTTCAACGTTGGCGCCTTTCTCGAGTCCGTATCGCCCTACGCCTGGGCTAGTTTCGGCATCTCCCTCTGCATCGGCCTCTCTGTCGTCGGTGCCGCCTGGTAAGTCAACAAGACAATCAACGCACACGCTCCAATACGAAACGAGGGGGAGGAAGAAGACGAGAACGGCACAACCCAAGCCTACATACATCGCGAAGAAGCGGACACAGTTAAACTAACACTCTCCGTGTCAACCCTTAGGGGCATCTTCATTACCGGATCCTCCATCCTCGGCGCCGGCGTCAAGGCCCCCCGAATCCGAACTAAGAACCTCATCTCCATCATCTTCTGCGAGGTCGTCGCCATCTACGGCGTCATCATGGCCATTGTCTTCTCCTCAAAGGTCGAGGCTGTCCACGGCGCCGAGCTCTACTCTGCCGACTCCTACTTCACTGGCTTCGCCCTCTTCTGGGCCGGTCTGACTGTCGGCGCCTGCAATCTCGTCTGCGGTGTTGCCGTTGGCATCAATGGCAGTGGAGCTGCGCTGGCTGATGCAGCTGATGCCTCATTGTATGTGGAGACCTCCCTCTATCACTGACATCTGTCGCTTTTACGGATTGCTCCGTGTCCGCTTCAGCATATTAACCATTTCATGTAGGTTTGTCAAGATTCTCGTCATTGAAATCTTCAGCTCTGTCCTGGGACTTTTCGGCTTGATCATCGGACTGCTGGTTTCTGAAAAGGCTCCCGCCTTTGGCGCCAAGCCCGTCTGAGCGCGCGAATCAGGGGACCGTCGAAAGAATTTCACACTTTATATCACACAGCCTATCACTTGTCTCTGTGTTGCACCCCTACTTTCTCTCCCCGTGATGGGCAGAGAGGAATCCCGACATATGCATTGCGACGATAGCTTTTGGTTGGGCGTTTGGAAGATTGGGCTGTAGAACGATGTTTAATTTTTTATCTTTTTTTTTTTTGTTACATTTGAAGCTGTATGACTAGCCCCCGTGTATACTAGCCAAGGGTAAAAGACAGCTGCGGATGCTCGAAATCTACCTAGTAGGCATCATCTTGAAGGGTTATGAATATGTAAAAGAGCAACAAATTTTTGAATCCCTTTCTTTCCTGTTCAACTTCTCCTGTTCACATTGACCAAGTGCTAAATAGTCCTACTATCTCACAACCTGTGTTTTGGGTATCAGCTACCGGACTACATACTAAACTGCCTCACCATCTCATGCTCCGCGTATAGAATTCATTAGCAGAGCGTCAACCTTGGAGCCCTTGTCCAACTTTCCGGTGCCACCGGGCAAGCAAAGCAGCGCATTGGCCGATCTTAGGCTGCCTACCTTGGAGCTGCGCTGTCCTCCGGTGCTGCTCGCCGTCAGGAGGCCGTCCTGGCCGATGGTCACCACAGCACGATGGAATTCCGGCCGGGAGTCTAGACCGAATTCATGGGCTAGGGTGACGGGGACCTTGGGCAGGCCGACGGGTGTGACGCCGGACTGCTTGTGCAGCGACGGCAGGACGAAGAGGTGGAATGTCACGAGCGCGGAGGCAGGGTTGCCGGGCAGGGAGAAGATGACCTTTGAGATGCGGTTGCCGGCGTTGTCCTTGACGGGGATGGTGGCAAAGGTGCTTGGCTTGCCCGGCTTCATGGCGACGCGGCCAAAGTGAATGGTGCCGCCGAGGGAGCGCTCGATGGTGGGCTTGAGGAGGTCGAGCTCGCCCATGGAGACGCCTCCCGTGGTGATGAGCACGTCGGCCTCCCTCAGCCCAGCGCGCAGCGTCTCCTCCAGCGTGCCGGGCTTGTCGCTAGCAATACCCAGGTCGACGACGGGGAAGCCCCATTCCCTGGCGGCGGAGATGAGCGTGATGCGGTTGGTGTCGCGGACCTCGCCGAGCTTCAGGCCGCCGGGCCGGTCGTAGTCGACGATCTCGTCGCCGGTGGAGAGGATGCCGATGACGGGCCGCTTGAAGACTTGGGCCTCTGCCACGCCGACCGCGGCTAAGAGACCAATCTCTCCGCCGACTCCGGATATCTGCTCTCCCCTTTTGAGGATCACGGCGCCTTGGGCAATGTCGCTTCCGATTTCGCGCACGTTGGCGCCGTCTGTGACGCCGCCGGCCTGGATCTCGACTTCCTTCTCCTCTTTGCCGTCGTCTGTCATGGTCTTGAGCGTGGTGTCTTCCACCATGATGACGGCGGTGGCTCCTGGGGGTAACGGAGCGCCTGTTGTTATCCTGGCGATTTCTCCCTCTTTCAGAGGCGGCATTTCTCCAGGGGCGGCGTGAGATATGCCGGTGACGGGGAAGACGCCTTTGACGTTGCCGTCTTTGGGCACGACCACGGCATATCCGTCCACGATACTGGCTCGGAAGGCTGGCACATCTTCTTTCGCCTTGACATCCTCAGCCAAGACCAGGCCGACAATCGTGTCGTCGACCTTGACGGTTTCCGTCTGTGGCTCAGGGGTGTGCTCTGAAATCAACGCAAGAGCATCGTCCACGGATACCATGGGATAAGGGGACTCACGGTATCGTCGCGCGGAGCCCAGGCTGAAATCGTTGGATAAATGAGATGCGCTGGTGGAGCTTGGGGTGGTGAATCTCTGCAGATTTGCGTGGCCGTGGCTCTGTCCGGGACCATGGCTGTGGCCGTGAGAGTGTCCATGGTGATGATGGTGGTGGTGCTGTGTTGATGAGGCTTGAGACGGGGATCGATCAATGCCGGCATCTGCCTCGAGCTTTTTGACGCCGCCAGCGTGCAGTGCTCTTGAGTTTCCGCCTGCTGCTTGGAGACAGGCGTGTGGCAGGGTCTTGATGATGGCTTGGAGGTTCTCCTTGGCCCCTTTAGGGGAGCCGGGCAAGGTGACGATGACAGTCTTATTCCTGACACCAGCTGTGGGGCGAGACATCATGGCGACTGTGATGGATGGTCAGCTTAGTGTAAGAATAATAGGTGAGGTGCTATGTTTGCTTGATGACTTACATGGTGTTATCGCGAGAGATGCGGAGAGCATAGCGTGGATCAAGCCTGGAGCCGTCTTGTGTATCATTGGAGCAACAGCCTGTTCAAATGTATTTGTTAGTATGGGTTGTCAATATTATGATTGAACACGCGAGATTTTGAATAAATTATATTCAAATCCATCTCACTTACCTCTGGCGTCACATCTGCTACTGAAAACCCGGTGCCGCCGGTGGTGACAATGAGATGCACCGGATCAGGGCCATCTGTCCAGGGCATGATATTCCTCTGGATGTCCAGGACATTGTCTGAGACAATGCGTTCATCGACGACATCCCACCTGCCCGCGCCATCCTGCATCAGCACCTCGCGGAGGACCGTTGCGGACGCATCGGCGGAGGGATCTCTGGCGGCCGTGGTTGAGACGATGAGAATTGCGGCATTGAATGGGCCGTCCATGGTGGTGAGATTTCGATGATAAAGATACCGCGTGAGTGAGTGCTTATTATATCCAACCGTCCGAGTAGATGAATTCAAAAAATCTCTCTCCCTCTCCGAAATACCAATATTAAAATACCAATACTATACCAATACTAACAAGCAGCAAATCACCCAAGCCCTGCCTTAGTATCCACGATCTTGAAAAGGTGCAAGTATGAGGTCAATATGTTGGGCATGTGTTGGGAGCTGTCCAGAAACAAAAGTGAGCCATGTACTGTTAGTCTCAAAGCCTGCTGTGTTAGTGCCAAAGTATTTGCTCCTCAGCTAATACGATTAAAGACAACGGCGCGGCTTGGCCTATCCGGATGCAAACAATCTAATATATGTACACCTTAGGTACTGTACTGTACGAGTACTCCGAGCATGTGGGATACAGCTCCAACTCCCAAACCCTCGTGCTGGCTGCAGAAACGGGCATGTAGCAATGCGGAGGATTTTACGGGTGCACAGCCGTGGAGCCCAGCCCAAGACCAGCCACCCCCGAGAAGCTCCCCTAAAGTGCCCTTTTTAGCGCTTCTGATAAGCTTCTCGGGCGCTGGCCAGCATCGACTTACAGCGCGTGCGACAGTGGCCCCCCACCCTGCAGATACCCCCGAAGTCCCGAGTTGGCGCCATGGACTATTTTTCGGCCTTTGAGGCCCCGTCAAATCTCATCATCTGCTGCAATCTGCAACATTGGACCTTGCGACAGCCTCTCGTCTTCGCCCATTTGCATCGCCGATCTTCGCCACTACGGGGGCCCGGCATTTGCTCTCTGCCGAGTCTTTTCCCACTCGGATCTGAGCCTGACAATCTGACCATCTGGCAACGTTCGTGAGACCGTGATTGGACATGGTGCGAATCAAGGAGCGATACCTGCTCGTCAACATCATCTACCCTCCCGATGCCGCCGTGTCCAGGGCTCGCGTGCCGGCTCTAGTTGCCCAGCACCAGCCGACCATTGCGAAGCTGACACCGCAGGCCTTGGTTAGGGCCATCAAGGCCGAGGTGCTGCTACTCTATGGCGACTATGGCGCGGGGGCTCTCGAGGGCAATCTTTCAGGTGAGAAAATCTTATCGTTGATGTGATGTGATAGTTACAAGCTCTGTATAGAAGCAAGACTAACGGAATAAACTCAAAATACAGTCAAATATCTGTCTCTGGCTACGTCCACCTTCATCCTCAGGTGCAACAGGGCCCATTACCAGCTGCTATGGTCCGCATTGACCTTTATGGACCGTGTTCCCGTTAAGGACGGCCGGCCATGCATCTTCCGGGTTGTTCGTGTTAGCGGCACCATCCGCAAGATCGAGGAGATCGCCGTGGACCGAGCCCGGAAACTCATCCTGAGAGCAAAGGCAGAGGCCAGCTCTCACCCGCAATCTTCAGCATCTATGGATCTTTTGACCAAGGACGACGCCATGCTGGAGGTTGTCGACAGTGCCGTGAGCGACGAAGACATGGAAGATGGAAGATGATGTGATAATTTTTTGATTTATTATTATTACTTCTTTCTAACTACCCGGACACCGCTATCCGCCGGTATTGTCATGTCGCCAAAGTCCGGGTCCATCTCTGCCTCCGCGGTTGGGGGAGCGGGTTGTGGCTCGTCCACCTCCATCCCATGCTCCTCCTGCACCCTCCTCTGCTCCTCCTCCTCGGCCTCTCGCTCAAGACGGTCATATTCGTCCTTGTGGTCGATCCACCGCTCCTGGATGTCTTGCACATCCATCATGGACGCTTCATTCCTCATGGCAACCGCCCATACTGTGTCATTAGCACCTTCAGCGCCTCCGAATACATAACCGCCTGCGCGATCGATTACACGGAGCAGATACATCATGCTCTTCTTGTTCTCCACCGCCAGCACCTCATACCGCACCAGGCCGTAGCTCTCAATCATGTGTGCTATCGCTTCGTGCAGGCGGCCGAACTTTTCGTTTCGCATTCCTGGTGACTCAGCTTCGAGGAATGGCGTTAGGTGCGTTAGGTCGTCGACATCGGTATAGTATTCTAAGTTGAACGGCAACTCGTCGTATGACGCTATCTTGTCGATTTTAGAAAGCACATTGATGTGTGGCATGTCCATCTGGATCATGGCTCGGAGCGAGAGGAGGACGTTGGAGACATAGAGGGATGGCTGTGTAAGGCAAAAGGAATCGGAGAGATGTACACAGACAAACTAACACAGGGGGCGGTTAGCAAGGCCAGTTCGTATTGCTTCTGGCGAAGCATACTGACTCTAAATCCAATCTTCTGGAGCTTGTAAAATATGTTTCTTAATGAGTTGTGATGTGTGTAGAGCTCGACCTGACCGGGACAGTCGAACAAGATGTAGTCTTCCCCAAACTCTTTCAGCCCTTCTTCCAGCCACTCGTAGTTGTTCTCGAGCTCCTCGAGAGCATATAGGATGCCGCCGTTGGGCCCCAGGCGATCTTCGCGCATGATATCCTCCAGCTTAACCAGGTCGCGAATGTCGAGAGCGCAAGGGTAATTTGTATGATCGTTGGCAGGGTCGAGGTTCACGACGGAGCACGCACGCCCAATGGCGCCCATGAACTGGTGCACTGAAAGAAGAAACGAGACATGTTAGCACCAAGCCCAGAGTCAGTCATCGAGAGCAAATCGTGGGATTTCAACGTACTGCCATCGCAGTAGGTACTCTTTCCCGCGCCGGGGCTTCCGAGAACAAGCTGCGCAAAGGGCATCTGGCAAGGTGTTTTTGTTTCGCTGAGCTTAATGTGGCATCATCAGTCTCGAGGCTGAATTTGGATATCACTGTGGGAGAGAAGAGAGAGCGTAGGATGTTGGAGGAGAAATGACAATACCTGCTTGACTTTTGCGGCTCGCAGCAAACAGGACGACTAAGCACGCCAACAAATCGTGGCGTATCTGTCGTGGTATTACTGATGATTAGAAGCTCAACTCTAGTTTTGCCTCAACGGATATATCTTTGGTTCCAGTCTCTAAGTTAAATATCGGTATTTATTTCACAACAATCTCATATAAGGTACTATGGATTAGCAAGATGAAATGCTTGCCTACTTGTTAATGCTCTGCTTGAGGTTCTGTGAATCTCTGACATAAAAAAAGGTGGGGTGGTGGGGGTGCTTATGCCGGCAGAAGCTCGGCCCTAGAGCTAAGCTTCGAGGTCAAAACCACATGCTTGAAAATTGATCACAAGCTTCCCTCTTTCTTTCTCTCTCTTTTTATATCTCAAAAACTCCTCTCCCCAAGTTTGCCCTTTCGGCAAAACTCGCCCCAGCGGCTTCCACCAGTCGCTGTGCATGATGCTGGGCAATAATGTGCAGCACCATCTCCAACCATGGCATCTGACTTGTCAAATGCTGCGCGGTTGGCTGGGAGCCTCTCCCAGAGCGTCTCCGGCGCCATGGACTCGCCGTCCAGCTCCCTCACCATGAGCTACACGACCGTTGAAGCTGCTCACGCCTCTACCGGCTGGCTCGGGCTCATCGGGTGGCTTCTCTTGTGCATAATCAACTTCATCACCACCGTCCTGTACTGGGCCATCCGCACAGTGACCATTACCTTCCCAAGTGTCCTGTACTCTCTCTTTTCCGCGAGCTGGACAGTGACCATGAATGCTACTACGCTGTATGCTGCCAATCCCTTGGTTTCGCTGAGCCCCTCAAGACTCACAGCCTCACTAGCATGTTCATCATTGCGGCCATCGTGTCGGCGGTCAGTTGGGTGGTCAGGTATCGCATCTTGAATATGTATTCGAGATTGCCCCCTGAACCTCAACGGAAGGAGCCTGAAATCGACTTGTTCCCGGATACCCACGAAGATGGGATCAAGTCCGGCTTGGCCAACTACCTGGACGAGTTCCTGAGCGCCATCAAGATCTTCGGCTACCTCGAACGATCCGTGTTTCACGAGCTCACCCGAAGCATGCAGACCAGGAAGCTCATTGCTGGAGAAACAATTAATCTAGAAGAAGAAAAAGGCTTCTGTATTGTTGTTGATGGCTTGGTTGAGATTTTCGTCAAGTCTGGTAGAAATCCTAGGGCGCCCGTCAGGAGCGGGTCTCAGACCGACCTCTTTGATTCCTCCGACGATGAAGACACTCTGCCTGGTCAGCAAAGGTATCAGCTCTTGACTGAAGTCCGCAATGGAGCACCCATGTCGTCTCTCTTTTCCATCATGTCGTTGTTCACAGAAGACGTGAGGCTAAAAACACATGATGAGGAGACCACTCTTCGTCCGACTGGAAGTCGACATCATGAGCGAAGTGATACCCTGAAACTGAAAGAGTCTGCTGGAAAGCCTTCTCAAGCTCCCACATCAATGCCAAGCACACCGCATCTGGATCCGAATGTGGAGCATGTCAGGTACGGTGATGGCATTCTGTCGAATGGCGCAGCTGCCTCAAAGATCCCGCCCATATCGTTGGAGCCTGCTGTTACCTTTGAGCCCAGCAAGGAGAGACCGGAGAGACCAGGGCTTCCAAATCGGCTGCTGTCAAGCTCGGCACACCCTGACATCATCGCTCGGGCAACAGTTGATACCACTATTGCAATCATACCTGCAAGTGCATTCAGAAGGCTCATCAAGATATACCCCAAAGCCACGGCACACATCGTTCATGTGATCCTTTCTCGGTTTCAAAGGGTGACGCTGGCACAAGCGTTCAACTACCTTGGTCTGACAGCTGAGGTTCTACAAACTGAAAAGGACATGGTTAAGTTTACTATGTGCCAGCTTCCCAATATTCTCCGCGGAGACGCCCTCAGCAGACTGAAGGAAAAGTTTAACCGCGAGCGGGAACGCATTGGTGAAGACCAAGAGACCAAAGGGATTGCCCTTCATAATTCAGCAGTTAACAGACGCCGAAGGTCGAGCACAGCTCTACGAAAAGAGATAGCCATTCAAGCTATTGCTAAGAATCGATCCGTGTCCTCTACTATAAACACTGCTGCATCTGCGCGCGATCCACGTTCAGCCCGTGGTCTCAACCCTGGGGATCTCCTGGCAGGTGCACAGCTCACTCGGGCATTGAATAGAGTTCCGGTCCCAGAAACTCCTGTCCGGTCTCCAACAGAAACTGGTGCAGACGGAAGCCTATTCAGTCCCCTGACCCAAAAGACTTTTAACCCATTTGATTCTGGACGTCATGCCCGCATCTCGACGGATCGGGATTCGGTTGATGAGGATAACCTCTTTAGAGCCTCTATTCTCGAATGTGTCTTCAAATCTCTTGGCCTAGATGCGGGCGGAACCTCGTCCAGAGATGTCGACTCGATGGAAGGATCCCCGAGGTTGGTGGGATCTCCTAGGCTGATTTCTACAGACCAGCGGCGAGCAAAGACCATGTACACAAACAACGCATTTGGCTTCATTGGACCATATGAAGGGTCAATTGATGGAGAGACTGAGTCATTAACCTCGAACGGGCTGGCTGGTCATACTTCACCAACAGCACATTCTTTGGCTCACGACATGATGGATGAAGTTGAAATCGTCTTCTTCCCCAAAGGATCGGTGCTAGTAGAGCAGGGCGAGCGGAGCCCCGGTTTGTACTATGTCGTGGACGGGTTTCTAGACATTGGCACCACTGTAACCGATGGTGCGCAAAACATCTTTCAGAAATCGGGCTCAGCTTCTTTTAGCGCAGATTCGCTTCATTCGGATGAACGATTTCAAGGTTCGTCACCCAAAGATTCAGTCCATGGCACACCGTACTCTTCACATCGGGACCAGGGTCATCGCCGAAGTGTTGCCCTCATTAAGCCGGGAGGCTTGGCGGGATATATCGGCAGCGTCTCTTCTTACCGATCCTTCATCGATGTAGTGGCCAAGACAGATGTCTACGTTGGATTTCTTCCTCGAGCTTCTCTTGAAAGAATAGTCGACAGATATCCCATCATCCTCCTGACAATGGCCAAGAGGCTGACTCACATTTTGCCTCGACTCATCCTGCACATTGACTTTGCCCTTGAGTGGGTTCAGGTTAATGCTGGCCAAGTGATATTCCATGACAGCGATGAAAGCGATGCCATATACATTGTCCTCAACGGGCGTCTTCGCCTTGTGGAAGATAGGCAAGACGGTGGAGTATCAGCGCGAGCCGAATTTGGACAGGGCGAGAGTATTGGAGAGCTTGAGGTGCTGACCGAAACTGCGCGCTCTGGAACCTTGCACGCCATTCGGGATACCGAGCTCGTCAAATTCCCTCGCACTCTCTTCAACAGTCTTGCCCAGGAGCATCCCAACATTACCATTAAGATCTCCAAAATCATCGCTTCTAGAATGAGGGCTGCCGTGGATGACTCTACCAAAATGTCTGCAAAGGAAGCGGGCTCGGGTGCTGTAACCAATCAGCGAAAATCAACCTTGAACCTGCGGACTGTGGCTATTCTGCCAGTTACTTCTGGTGTTCCCGTCGTGGAATTTGGGCACCGTCTTATGAATGCGCTCGCCCAAGTAGGGCCCCAGAACGGCGCGACCTCGTTGAACCAGTCTGGGATCCTGAACCATCTGGGGAAGCATGCGTTTAACAAGATGGGCAAACTGAAGTTGTCGCAATATCTCGCTGATTTGGAAGAGAAGTACGGATTGGTGGTGTATGTGGCAGGTAAGCTTTTTTCTTCTTCTTTTTGTTTCAGTTATCTTCAAAATTCACATGCTCTATATGATGACAAACTTTTTACACCGGAGACACCGTCTTTGATGGCTATGTTAACTCTAATTTTTTCCTGATCGCATAAATCATTTATTCATTTATTATTGCAAATCTTTCTTGTATTGGCCAATATGCTAACAAGAATGACTCTTAAGATACCAATGTCAATTCGCCATGGACACAGACTTGCATCACTCAAGCTGACAGCATTCTGCTTGTCGGACTGGCTGAAGGCTCTCCAGCTATTGGAGAGTACGAGCGCTTTATGCTAGGGATGAAGTCAACAGCGCGAAAGACTCTGGTACTGCTCCACGCTGAACGATTCTCGCGGCCGGGCCTCACACGGTCGTGGCTGCGAAATCGTATGTGGATCAATGGTGGTCACTATCATATACAAATGGCGTTTAGAACAGACGCAATGCCTACCCATCCTCCCTCGAAAAAACTGGGACAAGCCCTCAAGGAAAGGGTGCAAGTGTTGCAAGCTGAGATACAAAAGTACACTTCGCGGAATGTGCATCATCATCAGTATTACTCGCCTGATACACCATTCAAGGGGGATTTCCATCGCCTTGCACGCCGACTTTGCGGAAAGTCTATTGGACTGGTCCTAGGCGGCGGCGGTGCACGAGGAATCAGCCAGATTGGAATCATCAGAGCAATGGAAGAGGCTGGCATTCCGGTTGATATTGTCGGTGGCACATCGATTGGTGCTTTCGTCGGCGCACTATACGCCCGTCACGCAGACGTTGTGCCCATGTTTGGTTTTGCAAAGAAGTTTGCGGGTCGCATGGCAAGTCTCTGGCGATTCGCTCTCGATCTGACGTATCCGTCCGCCTCTTACACGACAGGGCACGAGTTCAACCGAGGCATTTTCAAGACTTTCGGGAACACGCAAATCGAAGACTTTTGGCTAGAATACTATTGTAACACTACCAACATCAGCAAGAGCCGGGCCGAGTTTCACACGAGCGGATATGCGTGGCGATACATTCGAGCTTCGATGTCGCTTGCCGGCCTGCTGCCTCCGTTGTGTGACGAAGGTAGTATGCTGCTGGACGGCGGTTACGTGGACAACTTGACGGTATCACACATGAAAGACTTGGGGGTAGACATCATCTTTGCGATCGATGTTGGAGCGCTGGATGATGACACGCCGCAGACATATGGAGACTCATTGTCAGGCATGTGGGCATTCTTCAATCGGTGGAACCCGTTCTCGTCTCACCCCAATCCACCAACACTGGCAGAGATTCAAGGCAGGCTCGCGTACGTCTCGAGTGTCGATGCTTTGGAGCGGGCAAAGACCATGCCAGGATGCACCTACATGCGGCCCCCTATTGATGGCTACGGAACACTTGACTTTGGCAAGTTTGATGAGATTTACAAGATGGGCTACGAATTTGGGCGCGAGTTCTTCCAAAAGCTCAAGGACGAGAACAAGCTGCCGCTTACGGAGGAGACTGAGGCGAAGAAGGCGCTGCGAAGAACAACTGCACCTAGACGAGCCAGCATCTAGACATGGCATTGACTAATAGACAAGGGCCAGTGCTTGTTCCCCTGCTTTGAAATAGACTGGAAGGCGTTGGTTGTTAGAAAGACTAGCTGTTGTGTTGGTTGATGGCCAACAAACGAATGAATGAATAATGTCCTGTCATAGCAGGTTCTTTTTTGCTCATCTTACCGCCCTTTGTGCTACAGCGATGTCTTTGTCTTTCCCGATCTGTGATGCAGCAGTGCTATGACGAAAATGACGAAGCTCGACTACCGTCTCAAGTAGCTCATTGGCTCAAGTCTGTGGGTGCCGATCGCGATATGCATGGATTGAGCGCTTGTTTTATTTGGCTGGTTAGCTGCAGCCAGTGGGAACATGAGCCGCGACATGGGTGACATCATTTTGATGATCAGGTTTTTGATATCTCGATGAATCGACTTGATTCCCGCAATGCATCGTGGCCTCCCATGACGCGTGGCGAAAAGATGGGCGAAGGAGGAGGTTTGGACATAAAACCATGAGCAAATGCGCTCTCTATTTACTGCGGGGGATGTTTATCAGCTATCACACTTAAGACAATCAATGACGAAAAACTATCATCTTTTACAATCCTTTTAACGACTATCTATCTATCTATATCTGATATCTATCGGTGCAAATGTCGCGCTCAAGACGAGAGTACCCCAGCAGTCTCTATCCCGAAGTCGGATCAAGCTACAGCAGATCTGATTACGGCTACGGCTACGACAAAGACAACAACAGCACCGTCAGCGGCTACTCTGCTTCTTCTACTTCAAGGAGGAATACTACTAGTACCTCCAATTATCACAGCCAACATGGCGACTATTCACGAAGCAGAGATCATCGCCACCGCGACAGAAACGAAAGGCGTTCTCGAGATGCTCATTCCGCAAATCCTCGTCGGGGGCGATCCCACTCCTACGAGCGCAACAGCAGAGAAAACAAAGACAGCCGCAGCCGCGCCCGCAGCGCCAGTAACTACAACAGCAACAGCACTAGGAAAAACAACAACAGGAGTGAGAGCAGGACGATAAAGCAGCACACCAGAGGCATATGGGAGAAATTCGTGCCGCCGGACTATCGCCCCTCAAGAGCCGATCCGGACGCGAGGAGGGAAAGATTGAGTAAAGAGCATGAGGCGGGGGGGTTTGACTGGACGCCTGGGTTTGTGTTGGCGTTGATGGGGGCGGCGACGCTGTTTAGTGTGGAAAAGTCGTTGGTGAGGAGGCAGAAGAAGGATTATATACAGCATTGATCGGAGTTTTGAGATGGCTCTTATCTATGAGTGTCTGCTTCTTTGCTTGGGGGAATTTGTTTGTTTGCTTTATCCGGGATGTATGAGATACACGATACCATATCAAGGATGCTATGAGATACACAATACCAATATGAATTACGATATAAACTCAATAAGAGGTTTTGCATGAGGACATATACATGTAAATATATTCATCTAAAAAAAGACATCAACGCCTATATACTTCGTGCACAAATCATCTATTCTCTCATCTTCTCTGCAAGTCTTACTCCAACTTCAACTGCCCCTCAACCGTTTCAACCAACAAGTCAAACAGCTTCTGCACATGCTCCTCCCTAACAGCCGCCACTCCCGTGCACACCCTAATCGCAAAGTGTCCATTCACCACCGTGCTCGTCAAGTAAAACAAGCCACTCGCGTTGATCGCCTCGTACAGCTTCTCCGTCCGGCTGTTGATCTGCTCTTCGCTATCGCCCTTGGCCCGGAACGACACCAGCCCGAAGCGCGCCTTGGTGAAGATGGTCAGCAGGTCCGGCCTCGTCGCGAGCTTGGCTTCCAGAGACTCGCCCAGGGTGACGCCATTGCGGATGTGTGCTTGCAGGCCGCGGATGCCGTAGCTGCGGAGGACGAACCACAGCTTCAGGGAGCGGAATCGTCGGCCCAGGGGGATCTGCCAGTCGCGGTAATCGGTGACGAGCTCGTTGTCGCTGTACTGGTTCCGCAGATAGGGGGGCTTGATGCTGAGAGCGTTGATGAGATGTCCGCGGGCACGAACCCACACCGCAGAGCAGTCAAATGTCGTGAGCATCCACTTGTGGGGGTTGTAGTTGAAGGAGTGGAATTCAGCCATGGGCTTCGCAAGGGGCTTGTTCTCGTCGAGGAGCAGCGCCGCACCCGCATAGGCAGCATCGACGTGGACCCAGACCTCGCCCGGCTTTCCAGCTCTTGGGGCCAGAGCCTTGGCGATGCTGGCGAAGTCGTCGACGGCACAGACATCCGTCGTTCCTAGAGTGGCTGTCAAGTAGAATGGCTCCAGGCCCTTTGCCTTGAGCTGATCGAGCTTCTTTGCCAGAGCTTCACCCGTCATGGAAAAGCCATTCTCTTCCGACACCGGCACAGTGTCAAATCGCACTCCCAGAACCTGTGCGGCCTTCTTGGTGCTAGAGTGTGCACCCGCGCTTCCCAGGGCAACAAGCTTGCTGCGAAGCCTCCAAGTTTCCTCCTCCTTCTCCTCGCCCTCAGGCAGGTGAGCCGTCGCTTCATTCAGGTACTTGTCTCTGGCTGCAACCATGACCGTGAGAATGGCCTCGCTAGCACTTCCGTGAAGCACGCCACCACCGTGAGTCGGCCCGCCGCTTAGGAAACATTCAGGCAGTCCCAAAGCCTGAGCCAACCAATCCATCACAATTGTCTCCAACTCAGTGACGGCGGGGGAGCAGATCCAGTTGAAGTGAGCACCGTTGAAGGCGTTGGAATACATTTCGGCAATTGCAGCAGGATAACTGCTTGAGCAAGGGAAGAAGGCCATGAATCCGGGAGACTGCCAGTGAGTGATTCCTGGCAGAATCTTGGACTGGATATCGGCTTGAATGGACTCCCATGGCTCAGGATCCAGGGGCGCTGAGGCAGGGAGGAGCGGCCTCAGATAGCCGGGCTCAACATCCGCAACAACTCGATGATCAGAGATGTTGTCATAGTAGTTGGCGACTGTTGGTAGTTTCGAATCAACTTGTTAGTCTGGCGTTTGCTTTGAAAGAGAGGGATAAGAGAGAGAGAGAGAGAAAGGACAAGTCTATATCAAGAAGCAAGGAATGAAACTCACTCTCATCGACTGCCGCTTTGGCCGCCACCCGAAACTGGTCCGTATTCATTGGATTCGCCATGTCTGTTTCTGCTGCTTTCTTTGCTCTCGATATATTCGAATGTCCTTGCTGGCTTGTGATGAACCGTGTCTGATGCGTCCGAAACTTCGAATCGAGGCGATTTGCATCAACTTTTAAAACATCGACTCTGAACCCTCTGTTTTTCATCCCCCCACCGTTAGAAAATAGCAAGGTGCCATTTCCGACTCGGCGGCCTAAGCCCATGTGGAGAAGCCACTTCGGATTCTTCGCCATTGTCAGCGTTTTTTTGGGTTTTTAGGTCCCGGAGGCTCGACCGAACTTTGCCCACGGCGACACGCCCGAACTTGGCCATCCTTTATCGGGGTAATAAAGGTCGGGCTCTGCAGCGGAATGGGTGGACCCCCATTGTGTCGGACTCTGAGTCTGTTCCAGGATTTCCGATTCCGTTCCCACACCAACACGCTAGCACTGCTTCTGTCGAATAGTGAAAGCCGTCCTTGCTGATTCGAGGAGTTGTAGAAATAGGTTGGCCAAGTTGATCTTGTTGCAGGGACGCAATGTCAAATATGTCGTCCTTATCACGCCCTTTGGATGACACGACGCCTTCTGCATGACACGGGAAGACGTTGTTAGTACGGATCTAAGCACTGTTTTGTAGTCGCACATGACGCCAAACTTGCTTTCAATTCCGCTTCTTATTCCTGGCGGCAACATGGCGGCGAGATCAGAATCAGCCTCCATATGCCGATTGCATTGAGAATCAGATTGAATAGTCACACGAACATGACACATAATTGCATCCAAGATATTGATCATTGTTCATCATTGACAAAGCACCCGTGGCATATAGGCGGAACTGCAGTCTTGCTACGTGTAGTTGTTAAGAGCCTCTCGCGGTGAAATATGGCATGTTTTGCGGATAAGACACTGAGAGCCTTGAGAGACCGAGAGGAAAAGAATAAATGATAAAGATTAGAAAATTTGTAATATTGGTACTCGCCGACATATACTAGACTAGCCATTTAATCAGTCTACTTTGATTGCACTGGCCGAGGTGGTGATTGCTGTCAGCATACTTCCTTCTTGGTTTCTAGGACAGCGGAGAAACATACCTGTATATCCTTCGCACAAACGCATATGCGCTCAAGAATCCAATGGTACCCGTCAACAGTCCATATACACAACACGCCATAAAACTGTAGGCAAAAAACAGCATGCTGCTCACGAAGCCACTGATATGCAGCTTGAAGAAATAGTACCAGAGCGAATAAAGAAAAACCCAAAATGCGCTTGCGCCTCCAACGAAGAATGACTGCCACCACCAGTGGTAGTTTTCCGCGCAGAGCTGGGCGTAGATGGTCACAATAGTCACCTCCGCAATAGTAACAACTAGAATGGCCGATACCACCGCTAAGAATCCAAAAACATAGTAGTAGCCGCTTTTGTCCTGCCATATGGATTGAAAAACAAACAACAATTCGATAAAGATGACAGCAAAAGGAATCAATCCTGCCAGAAGCACTGCCTGGATTGATTTACTGTACCAGGCTTGCCGAGGAACCTGCCGAGGGATCGTTGTCGTCTTGGTTGGATGTTCCCAAGCACCGGCCTTGTGAAAGCCATAGTGAGATCCCGCATACACGAGCGGCACCTGCACACAGAGCCAGAGAAGCAGAATGGCTACAAGTGTGCCGAACGGTATTGCCGTGCTTGATGCCTGGGCCCATACAAAGAGGTTGAGGATAAAGACAAGCCCAAATGTGAGGCCAGGAAACAGTAATGCTGTAACAAGTGCGTTTGCACGATAGTCGGCTCCATCGAAGCTCTTGAAGACGCGGGCAGAAAAGTAGCCGGAGAAGAGTCCTGCAAAGATAAACAGGCCCACTCCAACGCTGATGAAACCGCCTCGGAAGCTTGGGTTCAAGACGCCTAAAGCACCGAGCGAAACTAACCCCATGGCCATGAAGAAGAGCTGCATACCAGACCCAACAAGAGGTGCTAGGAGGATTCCAAGCCGTGGCTTCCGAAACACATCTCCATGAAGCAACTTCCAACCGGTAGCCTCTTCCAAGGCCTCGCCCTCATCCGATAGGTCATCATCGTCATCTTTGTCGGCATCTGTTCCCTGACTCAGCAAACCCGAGGTTTTCTCTCCCTTGGGCTTGGCCGCTTTCTTGGCCCTGGCCTTTCCTTCTTCCGCTGAGATACCCTTGTTGATATCCGAATGGATGGTCCTGGCGAGGATGATCATGACAATTCCCGTCAGCAGCCCACAGATAATGAGCGAGTTGATGATGGCCATCCAGTGAATACGTGTGCCATCTTCCTGGTTCACAAAGTAGAGATCCCAGCGGTGGGCCCATTCGATGCTATCATCCTCGCGAAAATAGACAGAATAGGTATAAGGGATATTCAGGGAACCGGGGCTGCTGTCATCGTCTTCTAATTCGTTAGGGCGGTATGATAGGCCATCATATTTCAATGACGCGTCAGACGTCCTGTTAGGAGCGATGTATAACTCAAAGGGCTCGTCGACATTCTGAATATCTGCGGGACATCCCGCACTATCCTTTTTGTTTCCGTTTCCAACACTCTTGGGATAAACTTCAAACCCCACAACCACCTTCTCGCCACGATCGCCAGCTCGACCTGATGCTCTGCGGTACTTAATGACAATTGTGTGGTGGTTGTTAAGATAGTAGTGAAGCTTGCCCGTCTTTGTTGAGGCCTCGGTATACCCCAGCTTGAAACCAGAAGCGTAATACTTGCGCGTCTTGTCGGCAGTGACGAAGCTGGTTGCGCCGGGAAGGTTGTCCACGATCCATTCGGCGACGTATCCATCTCGGATCAGCTCCTTCGACCAGCGCATATCACGGCGTGACATTTCCTTATTACAGAGCAATGTACACGGCGTATCCTTCGCCATGGCAAGTTCCATGTCGGATGTAATGATGCGGTCGCCACGCAGCACCTCTCCCAGATTCAACGGCACGCTCTGGCCGCTCAGTAAACCGCCGCCAGTCTTGTGGTCCCCTGTCGGAGAACAGGTAAATGGTAAGTCGTTGTACGCATATTGCAGCTGCGTGTTGTCAGAATAGACCTTGTTGACCATCAGAGGCACCAGTTCGCCGTCCTTGTAGCTCTTAATCGACCAGCCTGCGATGCGAGACGTTAGCAGCCTGTTGAGCAGTTACCTATCGACATACTCCGGTGGTTATACCAGGGATATAAAATGCCGTTGACGGTGACAAGAGCAACAGCCAAAACAGGCCGCGGAGGCCAGTCTTTCGTGTGCTAGTCATGTTGATACGCCGTTGACAGCTCTCCTAGTTCCTAGCTCTCTTCCCAGCATCACCATCCAGACATATGTTGTTTATTTTTCGGCCTCGAGCTCTCCCTTTATATGCGCGTCCAGATCGAAGACTCGGCTTAGTCACGGCGGTTGCGCAGCAGTCGGCAGAGAAGCTGTTGAGACGCTTTGACGCCTGCAGCTACAATCTGCAACAACGCTCCCTGTTATGTAAGGACGGGATTCAGATTAAATTAAGAAAGCGCAGGATTCAGGAAATGCAGATTATGTATCCCAATTGCGACGGCAAGATGGAAATGGCATACTCGTGCTGATCCAACGGCGTTGCTGGAGCTTCAGCTTTGTCTTCGGAGGAGCTTGTCGGCGTCGCTCAAGCAATTGGCCAGATAAGAGGATTGATTGATGCAAGTCTGGATATTGTAGCTTATTGCAAGGGGGACTGCAGTTGAACCCACAGCGCTGCCGGCACTAGGGAGGAACGGACTTTGGGACTTTAAGGTAGCACCTGCATTCCGCTCGACGATTGATTAGCCGTGGCTTTGCCGATCGCGATGCCCCGCTGAGATCTGGCCAAAGCAATTGAGACAGAGCCCCACGTGCTTCTACTTTCACATGCCTTATCACATTTGAAGGTAAGTAGATAGGAGCACAGCAATATAAAGAGATAAGGAGTTTTATATAAATTGAGCGTGTATGCATTTATACAAGCATATAAACGTATCTCTTGATACGCTCTCCATCAATGTTTCCCCTGTCAGATCTCTTTAGAAGTATAATATTTCACTTCTCTCACAAGTCTGGCCTGATGCAACTGAGATGGTCCATTATTATCCACAGTGCTGTGTTATAAACTTCGTCTGTAACTTCATCATATTAGATTACTAGGTAGCCAACTGCATTGAACTTCAAACTCAAAGGCAGGTGTGATACTAGGTATTGTTATCACAGATGAGATGATCTGCGTACATATAAGAGCCTCTTTTTCTCAAAGATCAAACTTCAACTAAATCCCATCTCTTAGACGTGTAGCAATAAGAAATGGTAACAACCGCGACTAATATTGATCTTGGTCACATTCTGTAACTATAGGGCTTGGTTAGGATTTCCCAATAACCTGTTCCCTCTTTCAATTGCCACATTCATCCTAGGGTGGGTTGTTCCAACAGCTCATGCAACTGTCCCGTGCCCACTTCCCCAGAGCGGTGCATTGCACAGCCTTGACATATCTACCCAATAGGTCCTTTATTATAGATTGCCGGCATCCCACACCAAATTGGTTTACACTGAACAAATTAATCGTAACTCGGGATTGATAGTAGGCATTCAGCTTTTTTCAGTAATAGAAGATTATCCTCATTCGGCAATACATGTGTGAAGATGCATCTAGAATTAGCAACCCGCCTTTCCCAAACAGGCATTACATCAAACATCACGCTGACGCATCGCCAGTTTTAATTAAGATAGGAACGACACCCCCTATTCACACACTCAGCATGATGAAGCAATTTACTGAATGGCGTTTACATCATTGGTCCGCAACTCCGCCAGGCCAGATAATGGAGCTTCCTGCGGCAAGATTGTAAGATATTAGTGGTTCTTTAGCAGGCCACCTGCTGGAGTGGACACATCATGTAGTCAGACCAAGTCATTCTCAGCCCAGGAGCTCTGCGGACAAGTCGGTGGGAGCGGAGGATAAAAAGAGTCAAATATATAAGGCTTGGTCTATATTATCCATATACATCAGTCTTGGGATATATAATCTGAGTCTTACCACCTAGAAGTTGTACATTCTCCACCGTTACACCTCGCCTTGCCATTCGTACAGATTCCACATTCCCGATATCATATCTGAGAGGCAGCGAGATCTGTAACTGCACCGAACTCTTTCCATTCAATCAACATGCACATCATTCTCACGGGAGCGACAGGTCTCGTTGGCTCCGGCGTCTTGGACGCCATGATCAAATATGAACGAATCACCAAAATCTCCATTCTAAGCCGCAAACCCGTTCCCATGGCCGACGACGCCAAAGATCCAAGAATCAACGTCATCATCCACAAAGACTTCGAACAGTACGACGCTTCTGTGCTTGAAAAGCTCAAAGATGCCCAAGGCTGCGTATGGGCTCTCGGAATCAGCCAGTCCAAGGTCAGCAAGGACGAATACATCAAAATCACAAAAGACTACACCCTCGCCGCCGCACGCGCATTCTCCACGCTGTCGACTAGCGAAGACCAGCCCTTTCGTTTCGTCTACGTATCTGGTGAAGGAGCTACGCAGGAGCCAGGTCATTTCACAGCTACTTTCGCCCGAACAAAGGGGGAGACAGAGGTTGGGCTTGCAACGATGAGCAATGAGCTTCGTACAATACGAGCTTACTCAGTCCGACTGGGCGGTGTGGACGCATCGCATCATGATGCGATAAAACAGTATATACCGGATCCAGGCGCCATGTATAAAGCTATGGGGAGTACTCTTTATCCAGCGCTCAGATCACTCATGCCATCGGCCTTGGCACCTACAGACATCACTGGCGATTGCCTTTGCAAGATGGCAATGGGGGAATTAGACGATAAGATTGAAGGACCAGGTGCTTTCAACACTGGGTTAGCTTGGACCTTGAATAACAAGGCCATGAGAAGAGTAGCGGGAAGGTGATTCGCACAACACGATCGAGGAGTTTCAGAGGCATGGGGTATGATTACCAATGGCGTTTGTGTTGTAGTTCGTTTAATGGATTAGCAATCATATCATTTGTAAGTAAATATACATGAGTATTGAATCAATGCCTATAGACATAGCTTTGCCGGAAGAATTCCTTGTTATGGCTGACCTGCTTGTTAGTTTTGACTTGTCAAGGACAGACATTTGTCATCATCACCTTGACGCATCAAGTTATCCATGTCAACTCAACTCAACTCAACAGAATAGTTTCAGTCACTTATGACGATGTGTTTGTTACCCCTCATCATTAGGATTTGGCTTATTAATGTCCAAGATACACAGCCAAGCTAGTATATACGGCGTGGTAACTACTTCTAGGGGCATTTGGAGAGACGAAACATGGATGTGCACGTTTAAACGCGTAATTGCTTAAAAATCGAGCACCAATTCTGCAATCATGTGAAAATCAATGAATCATAAAGTGCTTCACACGGTCTGATACACCTTGGCAGCGTTGGAAACCGGTGGATGGCGCCTTAAGTGGCGTTGCGGTATGAAGCATGTGGGCTGGCGATCACTTGGATTAAGGTAGAGTTATCTGTGGATATGCTGCAGGTAATGTATAGTACTCATGCGCGATCCACAAGAACATCCGGATTCGAGGGAGTTGCGGCTAAGCAACGGAGCGTCAATCGAAAGATAGCTGCTGCCCGTACGTCCTCAATGAGATAGATCTAAGCGTTGCCAAGATATGAATCCAATGGCAAGCCCCTTGAGTCTGGGTAATAAGTAGGGATATAACGGTCACATGCAAGCACCAAATTTGTGGCGTTGACCAGCTGCCCCTTCTGGCCATTCCTCTCCTTTTCTCCTTTTGATTCATGAGTTTCTCTCCCCTCGCTAAAGTGAATAGCCCTATTGTGGCGTCAGCCAGAGCATTCTTTCAAGAGCTTCCAAAAGAAGACCGTGAAGAAGGAAGCCGAGTCACGAAGGAGAAAAAAATATAGAAAAAGAGGATCTCTCGAAGCTGGGGCAAAAAATAGATTGATGCACCAAGCCGTTTACGGAGATCGTGTGTCAAATCGTGCAGCAATCTGGGGCAAAAAATTGGGGAGCAGGGGCGTGTCTGACTTTAGACTTTGAAGCTGTTTCCTTGGGACCTAAAAGACTTGGCTTCGACAGCAATCGTTGCGCTTGAGCAAAGTATCCAGATACCCGAAGCAGCGAGGGGTGGGGAGAGAAAAGACGACGCTGGGCGGCGCTAGAAAGCAGCAAAGTACCTGTACTGTTGCCTGTTCGCTTGTTTTTGTGTGATGTGAGCTGGGCTTGTTTAAGGTAGTGGAGATGCTGAGGGTAGCTCCATCTTAGACAAAGTTTTCCCCTAGGCGTTGGGATTTTCGTGTCCCGTGAGTGGTTGCGAGATGACTGAAAGGAATGGGGAGTGGCCTCAGAAAAAGCGATATCGGAAAATCGATGTGGCAGTTGGTGATTTCGCTTGAGGTGATTGATAGAAATGCCATCCCTTTTCCAATAGAGACGCAGGCACGGCTGCCAATGTAGTTGAATTCATTGGTAGACATATATCGATGCTGGACACGTGTGGGATGCGAAGCAAGCCAGTGGACGGCGATCTTAGTGTTCGTAGCCGGCTTCTGCAATATCGACTGCAAAGCACCGGGCGACTTTAACCAATCACTCAGGACCCCTGTCTGCTCTCCAGACACACCAAAACTCACACAATCCAGATGCTGCCACTCAGCTCTGTGAATTTTGGGCGCTTTGACAGCTTGAAAATACCCGTAGCGACAAACAAGGGACGGAGATGCATGTTCATTCCCGGGCAACCTCCGATTCAGCGCCGAATCCACCACCGGTCCGCGAGCGCCCACACGTTGGACCCGGAAAAAGGGTTGCGATCGAGTCCAGACCGAGCCAGAACACCGTCTAAGCTGGCGGCCATCCACACGATTCAAGGGTCCTGGCACGAGCTTGGTTCTTTTCGGGCTGTTTTTTTCAACTCGTGCGCATGCGCCGTGACAGGGGACTCATGATGGGGAATTTCTTTTTTTCTTCTTGCAATGTAATCGGTATCCATCTAGAATGGGAGTCGAGGCCATGGGGCAGCCCCGAGACCACGCCGGAGAAGACCGAGCCGATGGGGCTTCTCTGTTGAAGATGAGGCTGTTGTTGATACATACAGTAGTGCATACGGTAGGCCATGAGGAAATTGGCTCAATATATGAACAAATGAAGTCAAAAACACTGGATCTGGTGGCGAGAGGCAGCGCAGATCAACGAGGCTGGATGGACGTTGAGGCTGGAGGGATGCAGTACAGTAGAAAATCACCTCCAGAGGTACTTCGTGAATGTCGTGAACCCCGCAAAAACGGCAAGTCGCCATGAGGGCAAGAACTCAACGGAGCAGGCGCATGGCAGGTAATGCCCTAATGTAGCCTCTTAGGCAGTGGTTTGTACAGCTACGGGGCTTGGTATCATTGGGTTTGCGAAAGCACACCTCAACGCTGGTGCCCAAGATGTAGCTGTTACCTCACAGCGATACTGCACTGAGGAAAGTCTTAAACCTCATCAGTCTCAACCTCCAATCTTGGATTTTCCCTTCTTCCACCTTTTCAATCCTCCATCCTCATCAGAACCTTTCATTCAACCACGAAAAGATCAAATGCTCCCGCCATCTTCTGCTCCGTGATCATCGCCACTGTATGTGCTGTACCTGCGCCAAAAAATGGAACCATCAATCAACGAGCTCCACGCGGACTGGCGGCACTGAAGAGCGGGCTCCTACTTGTACAGTGTTAGTCGCCTTGATTGCCACACTCCCCCATCACGCCAGCTTCGCTCACACGCCCCAAGCAACTTCTCAGGGACCAGCGTTTTCTAGGGCCTTCCGCAAGTACCGGTACCGTCAATGGCGAGCTCTAGCAACCCCTCCATCCCTCGTCAAGCAAGCTCATGATGACCTGGTCATGTCGACAAGAGCCAGTTGACTCAGCTTTAAGGGCGTGGCCCTCCCCCGTCTTACTCTGATGCCATCTTTTGTCCTGCATCTTGCTACAGTATTTGAATCTTTTCCATCCGTTGCTGCCGTTCCTCTTTCTGTTGTCTTCCGCCTGTTTATTTATCTACCTGCCTGTTTACATTTATAATACTACTTGGGCTCCCCAAGATAATACTACTGCCAACCTCTGTACTCCGCGAAAACTGCATTTTGAGTCGAACAACTACCATTCATACACCATATATTTATCACCGCCATTCACCCTACTCGCAATACTCGAGCGTTCATTGGCAATTCTGAGCCATTGACTACCCGCCAGCCTTGATATCCTTCCTTTCAGCGCAATCTCTAGTACCTGAAACATGTCTGCCTCATCTCAGGGGACCACTCGCCCTTTCAAAGGGTCTAAGAACAGCTCTATTCAGAATCCCGCCATGGAGGTCAAGATAGACCAGCATTTTAACGCCAAAGTCTATACATCCGGATCTACCATCGCCGGCCATGTTGCCGTCCGCGCCTCAAAAGACACTGCCTTCGACAATTTGGACATTGTCTTTGTTGGCATTTCTGCCACACGGCTCGATTTTGTTCAGCAGTATCCTTCACACTCCTTTAGACCATTTTTGAAGATCCGCATGCCGATTCAGGAGTCGGACTTGCCTGGTGACCGGATATTCCGAGCCGGAAGCGAGTACAAGATTCCCTTCCACTTTGTTGTTCCTCATCAGCTCACCATCGGGGCCTGTAATCACACCTGCTTGTCACAAGATGTTCGGGAACGACACTTGCGACTTCCTCCCAGCTTGGGAGCCTGGGAGGCCGACGACCAGGCTCCGGACATGACTCAGATTGAGTACGCCATAAATGCAAAGGCTATTCAGCTGGGAAATGGGGCTGCCTCAAAAGTTATGGAAGCGCATCATATCCTCAAAGTTCTCCCTTCGCTCCCCGAAGATGCACCACTTGATATTACTTTTAGAGATGAGTGGTATAAGCTGTCCAAAACCAAGACTATTCGGAAAAGCCTGTTTTCGAGCAAGACGGGTCAATTCACTGCCAGCGCAATCCAGCCCAACGCTGTGATCCTTTCCGCAGACGGGCACAAGTCTTCCATGACAAGTGTCTGTATCAATATGGAGTACGCCCCGTCTTCGGCTGAGACGGCCCCTCCCAAGATCAACTCGGTCACAGGCAAGCTCGTTTCCACCACCTTTTTCAGCGCCGTGCCCGTGGATCATTTGCCAAACTTGGGCAGTCGGACGAACTGCGAAAGCACTCCTTGCTTGAATTATACGACGACACACTCACTATTCACTCTTCCAGTGGAATCAGTGTCATGGATGCAGCAAGATGCATCATCGCGCTCGCGCCGAGATTCAGGCTACTCAAGCACTGTGATGGAGGGCGATGCCTCCGAATCAGATTCTTCCGAGAGAAGAAGGCGGCAAAGTAGCAAAGGAAAGAGCTCCAAAAAGCCCAAACTGTCTACCGTCATACACACGACGGATATTGTGATTCCTTTTACTGTGTCCAACTCGAACAAGAAACTCTTCCTACCGAGTTTCCACTCTTGTTTAATTTCTCGTTCATATACGCTACAGTTGAGCTTGTGCGTGGGACCGACAAATACCGCCATCTCACTTGCAGTTCCTCTACAGATTGGCGTCGAGACGATTCACGAGCCACAGGGTCACGAACTTCCCAGTTTCGAAAGTGCCTTGGCACAAGCTGAAGAGGAAGAAGCGGATGCTTACCTGCAGCCCCGCGTGATCCACGCTCCCGTGTCTGGGCTGCATAATGATGCCGCGTTGCCAGGATATAATGAACTAAGCCGAAGAACCATTGGCGTTGCCTAAGGGCACATTACACAGGCATAATTAGTCTTTCTTTTGTATACTTCCTTTGTTTTTGCGTGAAGGTCTACTTTAGGAGTTTGTCAGCAAGGAGTTCGGGATTTGCTAGATATATAAAGAAATGTCTATAGTCGGGCAGTCATTATTTGCTTTGTCCATGGCAAGTCTGCCATCCAGTATCTTAATACCATACCACTGAAACTGATTACTATCCAATACTTGAAGTTGGTGAAGGTAGTAGCGGGAAATCTACATGAATACCAGGAATGGAGCAAACGAATATGGGAGGAGCAAACGAATATAATAGAAGCAAACGAAATAGGGTGTATGAATAGCAATGGCTGTGAGGGTAGTAGCAGGAGATCTACGCAAATACTAGGAATGGATATAGGAGAAGCAAACGAAATGGGGTGTGTGAATAGCAGTGACTGTGAGGCATCTCGTATAGCGTCCCCCACGGCCGAACTTTTCTTCCGGTGCAGGTAACCTCGTTTGCAGGTAACCTCGTTTGCAGGTAACCTCGTTTGCAGATAACCTCGTTTGCTTGACTTATAAAGCCTCCCTGAGCCTTAGCTTCGATGGCACCCTTTCGATGCTATTTCTTATAAGAACGTATCGTTTATTCTCTCCTTCTTGTCCCCTTCTTGTCCTTATCCCCTTCATATCTCCTTCTTGTTCTTATATCCTTCTTGTCTCATTATTCTTGTCTCCTTCTTGTCGTATTCTGCGTTTTTTACTTGATTAGCTGCTTTTGACTGCTTTTGACTTTTGATTCATGGCTGATGAAGCAATGAATGCAATTCCTGGAGAGCCACATACCCCTGAAGCGTCAGAGGATGCTTTTCCTGATCCTCTTCCCCCTCTTGATGGCTCCTCGTCTTTGAAGCATCGGACGCTAAACTGTCGACTTTTGCCACAAAACGCTTTGGGATCCGCTCCCCCTCTGACTTTAAATGAGTGGAGGCTCGGCAAACCTCTTCAAGATGGCTTCTTTGCAGACTACTTCAAGCAACCATGCCATTTCACCCGGCCACCCATCGATACTTCTGAGAGTCTAGACTCTGCGTTACGAGATGCAGAAAAGCAGAATCGCAAGCGCCTTAATGGCTCCACCATTGTTATCTATGATATATTTAGTAGCCCTTGGATTGCTGCCTTGGTTGGCCTACAGGACACTCATCAGCTCTTTACTTAGTTGGACAGAGATGGTAAGTTGCTTCCTAAGAAACTGCAATTATACCCTTGAAGGTTGCTCAACTCTTTTCAATATCCATTATTAACAACATGCTCTTAGTTGCTCGTGTTCTGGAGCCCCTTATTAGACAGATAGAGTCTAGCGAGAACAAGAAGTTGGACCAGATGAGGATGGTCTGGAAGAAGGTCCAGCTGCTTCATGCACAATTCGATGTCTTGTGGCGCAACTTGGAGACAACTCCTGGTGTTGTTGTCAAGACTGATCAAACCGTTGTCTCGGCTAGGTCAGGCCTACTTCTGCAACCAAGTGAATGGGATACGATTCTCACCACGATTGCTTGCGCATATCGGCTCATGACCTTCTTCCCAGGCCGATTCACAGAATCTCCTGCGGACGTCAACAACACTATTTGGGGACACAGCCGAAATAATTGGCAAGTGGCGCTCTGTGTTATTGATCATTTTAGATTTCGACGGAGGAAAAGTAAAGTACCCCGGGCACGCAATTTCTGGCCATTGAGAGCAGCACAATGGTTCGGTTATGATTCAGACCCTGAGGTCGAGTTCGTACGCCTGTACGCACGCCGGATGATCGATGATAGGCGTTTCGAGCTATCGAATATGTGCCCAAGTGTTACCCAATACTCTGGCGTAGACTTGGGTGAGATGGCCGATTTGCACGACATCAATCGGGTGCTTGGATTTGATCCAGCTAGCAATCCATCAAGTCAGGCCATCTCATGGCGTATTTGTGAGCGAATCTCAGAAATCCTCCAGATGTTCGGTCCCAGTATCGATATCGAGGAAGATATCAAAAAACGACCAAACGAGTTCTTGTTTCGCCCTTTGCAAGAAAACAGTGCTACTGTGATGGAATGGCTCTTTTCCAGCGCTGGAGTTCAATACAATGGCTACTTGGCAGCTGATATCTGCAGATTAGGGCGAATTCATCAATTGAACGCCGTTACGGATAATGGTGTTGACAATAAGCGGGATGCTGATTTGGTATCTAAAACCGTGCAAAGAGCACTTCAGATCTTGGCGATCCAAAAGTTGACAGACGTCGATATACAAGATCGATCGGAGATTCATGCTGGAAACTCAACCCCACGAGTTCATGTTCGGACCATTGAGATGGGATTATACGAGGGCAACATGTCTACTGTCATGTACGACTTCATCATGGAGCACATGTACGGTCAGATGCCCAAGACACAAGACGCAGTACCGCTGCATGCGAACAGAGGCCATATTGGAAAGCCGCCACCTACTCGCCTTAGCAATGAAGCACAGAAGATTCTTTCCTTGGCGTCCACGCATGTCGATTTCACCATCTTATCCAAGGCCAACGTGCGAAACATCCAGCTCATTGCGGAGTTTGATGAAAAGCTATCTGGAACGGCTGGGAGAAATGCGGCTCTGCGACACGATCGTAGTGGCGGCCTTCAGTGGTATTTCTATCACACTCGCTCAGACAGCACGTTTACAGTGCCACTGGTAGGTTACGAGATGATGTCGAGCATCTGCTTCAGGTCTCCCAAGATGGCATATGTCGCTAGAAAAGCAATGCAGGTGAAGCAGCAAAAGAAACGGCTTCTGGTTTACTGCAGTCATACTTTGACACAGGCTGTTGTGTGCGCATTACTTGTTCATGTAGGAGTCAAAACACTGCAGATTCGCAAGCAGCACACGGAAGCACAGAGAGATGAAGCACTGGCACTCTTCACAGACCCAACATCCAATGTAGAGTGTTTGGTTACATCCATGGCATTGGACACCGTTGGAATCGATCATTATGCCTGCTGTTCGTACGGTATAATCTTGGAGCTGCCGGAAACTGCAACTACGCTTTTTCAAGCCATCAGCCGTTCGAGTTCCGCAGGCAAATTCTTTTGGGATATTCTTATCTGCAGAGGGACCTTTGATTCATACCAAGAGTCTCGCCTAATGGCCGAGCAAGCCAACATTTTGGTAGCTGGAGCTGGAGCTCGAATCCCAAGCGAAATCCAGGGGCGGCTTCGAATCATCTGCGCCTATGAAGTCCTAAGGGTATGTCTAGGGCAGCGGGTAAATCTCTATCCGCGAAAGGGAGCTGAATGGGAGCTCTTTGACGACGAGCCCTTCATCAAGGAGGGAGAATTTTATTCCGCCTTGGCGCAATTGGTGTTGAAAGAACCGCATTTGGGTGTTCATTGTACGGAAGAAAACATCCAGAGGATCAGTGCCTCCTGGAAACCCAGCATGGAGTTGACGGCGGATCACATCCGTGGCAAAATGCTGGTGCTGCCGGATGGAGTTTCTCTACGTAGTTTTGAAAACCATGAGGGCGAGGGTGAGGACGAAAATGGCCAAGTTGACTATGAGGATACGATTGGCGAGGAGTTTTTTGATTGCATGGAGATGTGCGAATGAATAGGAGTATGTAACGAACCGAGTAAATGTAGATGTAGATGGAGGTATTCACTGATGACTGCGCTCAACGGCTTGAGAGACATGAAATGTGGATAATAGGGGTAGCTAGTTGTAGATGAGTTGAAAACAAGAAGAAAGCTATAATGTCCTGAGATACAGTTATTGTAAATAGTGGCCGTTCTAGTATCGAGTGGCCGAAATATGTCAGCTGGCATCGTGAGGGTTGAGATGACACTTGAATAACTGACATATGAATTTTTCATGTTTAATAGATTTTGGGTGTTAGATAGCTACACAATTTTTCTTCCGTTCTTTTCTTTCTTTGCCAATGTAATAAAGCTGACCGCTTGATATCAGACTTGTATCAACACACTATCCTCAAAGACATCGCTACATTTAATGGCATGCTCGTCAAAGCACAGACAACCCAAAATTCAGATACCAAAATCGGCATGACTCTCGTCTAGTCAAACACATCCGTGACATATCTCTCATTGCGCTGCTTGTCCCACCAAGCTTGGGCCTTCTCCTCATCCACCTCCTTTCCGTCAGCCTTGGCCTTCTCCTGAACAAGCTCGACGCAAACAGCCTCGACGGCCTTTCCAACATCGCGACTACCGCAGACGAGGACCTTGGCGCCCTGATCCCACAGCTTAAACAAATCTTCGCGGTCGTGCGACATTCGGTGCTGGACATACTTGCAGCCAAACGACTTGTCCGAAGCGCGCGAGTAAGCCTTGCGCATCTCGACAGCGCCAAGCTTCTCCCATCGCTCGAATTCTTCGGCATACAGATCGTCCATATCGGGAGAGCGGCATCCGTAGAAGAGCAAGGCTGGCGCAAGCTTGCGGCCCGCGGCAATCATGGCAGCGCGCTCCTGGACGAAGCCTCTGAAAGGAGCCAAGCCGGAGCCCGTGCCGACGAAGATCAGAGGAGTGTTTTCGGCATCGGTTGGGAGGTGGAAGGCTTTGGATTGGCGGACGGCAACGTGTAGTCTCTCACCAGGGGCAAGAGAAGCCAGGAAGTGCGTGGCCACTCCGAAGTGAGAACCCTGGCCGGATAGCGCGGGCTGTTCGAGAACGGAGTAGGTAAGAGTGAGTTTGGAGGGATCCGCCAGAGGAGAAGAGGAAATGGAGCTGTAAAGTACGTTAGGGAAGGCGTCAACAGTGATATGTATATGGATTCGTTTGAACTTACTACTGGCGGACACGCATGGGTGGAAGCATGGCTAGGTATGTGTCTAGGGGTAATTCGAGAGAGGGGAATCTCTCCAACAAATCGAGGACAGAAACACGCTTAGCACTAATCTCCTGCTGGTAGTCGTCCCCAGCTAGCTTCTCAATCTGAGCCTTGAGCTCCTCATCCTGAGTAGCTTCAACCATGACAGAAATGTTCTATTAAGAAAGTATTAGCCCAAATTTTCAACTCAGTCACTCCAAGTGTATCATCTGTACTCACCCTCTTGGTTGCTGGCTGGCTTAGCTCAACATATGCTCTCAACAAGTCGTTTGCAGAAACAGGGGTATCCGTGGGGAGGGCAGTCGGCTGGTCCGAGTGAATGGTCAAGACGGCATCCCAAGAAAGCTGGAAGCGACGGAAGACTCGGGCTACCGTATCCTTCGGGTTGAAGGGCAGGACAGCCAGATAATCGCCGGATCGGTATGTCATGCCTGTAGGCAGGCGGACCTCGATGTGGTTCTTAGTAGATCCGCTGGTAGTCAGAGTTTTGGTGCTGGTGACGAGGGCCTCCTCGACATCTTGGCGTAGCGTCGACTTGCGGGGGAGCGATACATCGACAATCAAGCCGCCAGCTGAGCCATCGGTAGATGCTGCAGAGGTACCATACTTTTCCTTCAGAGCAGGCCAGAGGGTTTCGTCCTCCCAAGTTTCGAAATCGCTAAACATGTCACGGTCCGCAGCATCGGTAGTAGCTAGCGGAATGAGGCGAGTAGCGCCATGCTCTGCCAGAGTCGAATCCACGAGCTTAGGAATGCGGTGGAACGTCTGGACCCAGTCGTGGTGACCACAGCCAAAGACGGCATATGACACTCCTTCCACCTCGTTGCCCTTGAGGTTTTCAATCCAGCTTACAAAGTGGGCCGCATTGGATGGTGCCAGTCCCTCGTACGAGGCCGTGACAATGATGACTGGCCGGTCCTTGGGAAGGTTCTGGTTGGCAGAGTCAAGAGGAGCAAGGTCAGTGACCTTGAAGCCATGGCTAGCTGCATCAGTTGCCACTCTTTGGGCCAAGGCCTCGCAAGTGCCGCTGTTGGAACCGTAGTAAACAGCCAAGGGATTCTGGGGTCCCTTGCTGCTCGCTGCACTGGCCGCCTTCTTATCTGCATGATGCTCCTCTACGACGCCTTTTCCAGCCAGCCTCTGCTCAAGCTCTGTCGGAGTCATTCCATCCCTAAGGGTGGCTCGCATGAAGAAATCCTTTGGTTTGATAGTCAGGGATGAAGCAATTTCCAACTGGTAGTTGGGATCGTCGAGGCTAAAGTTGAAGTTTTGGAAAAGAATAGCCATGGCGATGACGGCCTCGTTCCAGGCGAAACCTCTTCCAATGCAGCCTCGCTTGCCGTTGCCAAAGGGCTTCCAGCAGTTGGGGAATTCTCTGTTGAGCCGAGCAAACTCATCATCGAGCATGCGCTCTGGCTTGAAATCATTGGCGTCGTCGCCATAGACTACAGGATCAAGATGTGATTTGGCGAGAACGCAGGTGATTGGTTCGCCCTTGTGAACGAGGTATTTGCCTCCAATAAGGGTATCTTCGAGAGCTTCAACAGAAAAGGCCGGGATTGCGGCACTAAGACGTAGAGTCTCTCTCAGGACCTGTATCGCCTACTGTAAGTATTCTGTGTATTTACAACAAAGAAACGCGGGAATAGGATGAGAAAAAGAGGCATAAGAATAGAAGATACGTACTGCTTGGATATAAACGAGCTTGGAAACATGCTCGACTTTGGCAGGTCCACGGCCAAGCACCGCATCGGCCTCTTCTTGGACCTTTCGATAGGCGGATGGGTTCTTCAAGAGATGGTAAAAGGCAAATGATAGCGTACCAGACGTTGTCTCATGGCCAGCAATCAAAAACGTAATGAGCTGATCCGTGATGTTGGCGTCGCTTAGCTTCTCGCCGGTCTGGGGGTCCACGCCGTTCAACATGGCGCCGAGCAGGTCCTTTCGATCACTGGGATTCTTTCTTCGAGCCTCCACAACGGCATTGGCAGTGTCTCTCAGAATGGCGATGTCGTTGTAAAACTTTTCATTGGCGGCGCGGTAGAGGAAGTTGGGGGCAAAGCCGGGTCTCCTGTTTCGTCTACCGCATTCTGCAAGGAAGTCACCCATGGCCTGGACGAAGGGGTGCATCTTGTCCTTGTAGTAAGAGTTGAAGCGATAATCCATAGAACACAGCGCAATGGTGTCCAGCGCCAGCTTTGTGAATTCATCCGATACATGAATGGGCTTGTGAGGACCGTGACGAGCCAGTTTCAGGGCCAGCTGTGAGCTGATGTCATGCATCTCATCAAACATATCGCGGATAGGGAGAGGTCCAAAGGCCGGAGTCAGAACACGATGAGCTTTTCCCCAGTTGGGCTCATCGGAGTGTGCGGTGAATAGGCCATCGTGGACGCCCTCACGCACAACCTAGATAGCCAATGAACGTTAGTACAAGCTACTCTGAGTGATTCAAAACGCTACCCAACACAACATAGCTTATTTAGCCAGGAGAATTGATTGGACATACTCGGAGAACGGAGCTCAAAGACTTTTGAAATCGCTTCTCATCGCAGACTTCGTTGACAAGGGCCTGAGTGCTAATGAAGACAACGGGACGGCTACCCATATGAAGTCTGTAGATTTCTCCTGTTAAGGCGGGTTAATAAAGATTCCTCAGTGATGATGATGATGTTACAAAGTGTTGTTGGTAGCATAAGGCAAGGTAGGGTTGCGACATCGATAGGTGGATATCGATAGCAGATAGGCGGAGCTGGTATAGGAGATACATGTTGAGAAGGATACATGAAGCATATGGGTATAGATACAGCAAGGAGATAGTCATCCAGTGTATCGGCATATACACGTATACGAAAGATTAAGTCTCGTCTTACCATATGTATTCGACAAGCGAACAATATCCTCAATCGGGTTCGCCGAGAACTCGCCCAAATTACCCAAAAAGGGCAACCCAGGAGGCTCAGGAATAGGGACAGAATCGGCCATTGTCGTGTCGATTCCGAAGATCGAAAGAAAGCAAAAAGAAGAATAAAGACTCCAATTGCAATTTGACGTAATGTCAAACTGGGCAGAAGAGGAAGAGAAAGAAAGAATGAGGAGAACAACAAGGCCCAGGCTTCAAGTTTAAATGCCCAAAGCGCTGCTAAGGTATGTAGCTAAAAGACAAGGCAGCTAAAACGGCGGGCTGTGATGGAGCTTGTCAAAAGGGGATGGAGGGGCGATGATCGAATGGTGGGACAAAGAGAGAGAGGAGAGAGAGGTCTTTTGTTTTCCCTCTTTATTCAAAAAAAGGTGTCTTGACTTGTTTTGGTGGGAAGAGGAGGAGTGAGGAAATATTCGTGTTATTTATCTGCGAGATTATGGCCTCGAGCTACACAAAACAAGTCGTTTCAGACGAAATGCAGCATGGCATCATCCATCACCATCAGCCTCATCCTCATCCTCATGCCCATCTCCGCCACTTTTCTCTCTCTGTCCATGGGCTCCGTGGCCATTCGGGGCCCCTAGCAGAGCCCGAAATCGTGTAAGACGTACAGTAGCACGGATTGATTTAGTTCGGCCAGGGTCTCCCCCCGAATGCCGGTTCCGATCTCTTCTGTCTCTTCTGTCTCATTCACTCTCTCTGTCTCCCTTTGGCTATCTCCCCGGCACCTAAAACCTCAGCTCCCAGCTCCTACTATGCAAACTTTACCCACCCCTTGCTCCCTCTCACCCAATCTCCATCTCCGTAAATCCAACGGCAATCCCGTCAGTGGGGTTCTCTAGCGGCATCGTGGTGGAGCTGCCAGACGTGATTTGTGACCTGGACGAACGGTGGGGGATCGGGCTCTTGTTCCCGATTACGGTAGAGCTGCGGTTGCCGAACACATTTTAGCTGTCTTCTTTTTTCCATTCCTATCGTCATAGGAGAGATGGAACGATTAAAAAATAGGCAGGACTTTGTGGAATCTCCGAAGCCCCCCCCCCCTTTATCCATTCATTAAGAAAAAAGGGCTCCATACATAACAGTCGTGAAACGGCAACTCGGCCGAACGAGCACGGACTTGGATGCTTGCAATGCCGCTTCTCATGAGAATCCACTTGCCCGGGCAAAAGTTCAATGTCGGCCGACGCTGTCATCCAGACTTTCCTAGCAGGGAAAGCAACTTATGTAACTTCCTGCAGCGTCTCAGCAACTCTAGCACTCGCTGTTACATCTAGGATTGGATAGTATACTGTAAGCCCGCTAAGGATCCGAATCAATGCATCAATTCATCCGCCCCAGTGCCACAACACCACTGCAGCTGCACCTCCTCTTAACCTCTTAACCTCTCAGAGCAAAGCAAATAATAATACATGAAAATAATGCCATCAATAGAATTCGCCAACATTCATTCCCGTTCCCACCAACTCCGATGCTCCGTCTCCGTCTCCGTCTCCGTCTCTCCGTGCGTCACATTCTTATTTTTGCTGAGTTCTGAGCTTCCTGCTAAGCCTCGGCGCCTCGGCTCAAGTCGCCGGTGGGGCCGCTCTCAGATGTCAATCAATCGACCCTGCGTATTCTCCGTATCTAAGCAGGGAATAATACGGCGTAGTTGCTATTTCAAAACTGGGATCTTCTGCTTACATGAGGACTCATCATAATAGCATTGATTAAACTACGAGTTCTTGCCAGCAATCAGTTAGCGGCCGCCCAAATGCCGCTGCAGAGAGGATTTTGTAACAACTCCTGCCCAACAGCAATACCGTAGCCTCTCCACTGCCGAATCCCGTTTGCCCCCCCCTCTTTGTAAAACTCCCCTTGTACTCGTAAACTAAATCAGTCAAAGTAAACGCTCGAAACATGCCATCTTGAAATTCTTCAGCGAGTCTCCCATCGCCACTTTTGCAGCCATCTTCAGTAGTGAGATTTTGGTCAGTTCATTGGTTGAATGCTCTGCAGGCTGCTTAGCTGCTTCTCTAGTGTCGTCAATATGCACACATACGAATATACGAAGCTCGCATACGGCATGGAGGGTAGTCTATAGTATTACATACCTATATACATGTCATCAGTTTACTACAAGCAATTTAGCTGCAGCCATCCAAGTTACAGCTCGAACAAGAGTCTTTAGACTCGCAATACTATAATATAAATAGGTACTATGCGCATACCAACCGGGCGGCAATGGCTTCAGAACTAAGTTGTCTGTACCTCCAGAGTCAAGCCCGCGGCGGTGGGTTACGCTTCTGCAACCACTATTGGCTATTTATCGTCAATCACAGCCAACGCAAGCAGGAAGAAAACAAAATGACTTGAGTCTCAAAGGTCCTCCCCTTCCCAAATCTGCCTAGAATAGAAACAAGCTTCAGGCAGTTGCAACTTCATCGCGCGAGCATGCAGCAAATCTCCACTTGTGTGTACAGTAAAGCCTTCTATCGTTATGTCGTTATTTCGATATGCACTGCTAACCTAAGTGCGGTTGAAACCCAAATGTATAATGCCTGATTGGTCATGTTTTGTTTCGTGTTCTTACTTCTCCCCTCCTCCTCCCTCTTTCAACAACCAGAGCAGCCTATCAAATCAATTTCCGTCATGCCTGGTTTCCAGACGTCCCGCCGGGTTTATAGCATCCATCATTCATTCATCCGGCTGCTTCACGGAAAACTAACCTTGCCTACTTATAGGCAATGGATGACTGATTTGTTGACCCCTCACGGAAATGATGATGAGCCGGATCCAGCTCCGGTAAAGAGCGTAATCAACGCTCTTCACGGTTAGCCTCATCTCGGGAGCCTCCTCCCGAGAACCTCTCCCTCAGCCAACTAAGGGGTCCGGAACTAGTAGGTTGACTAGGGTTGGCGCTGGTGCTGGCGTTCGAGTTCTCTCTCTCACGACGGCTGCTTTGGGGTGGGCTGGGTTGTCTCGGGCGCACTCTATAATCCGCAAACGAAGACAATCTAGGGCTCGTAGGGGAAAGCGAGTTTCGCGAGTTTCGCCGTTGCGCACGCCAAGTATCGTAGGCAGACGGGGCGCCCCAGATGCGGTCTCTCTCCCTTTCCCGCTGATCGCGCTCTTGCTCCCGTTCGGCGCGATCCCCAGAACCGCCTCCAGAAATGCCCCAGATACGTCTCATACTCTCACGGTCTTGCTGCTCTTGTTGTGATGAGAGGCCACGCATGGCTTCATTAAGCCGGCTCTGGCTCTGGTTTGGAGGACGAGATGGCCCTGCTCCGGGAATTGGAAGCGGCTCGGTACGGTTCAGCCCGCTCCCATATAGATCATCCGAATCGCTAGACTGGGTGGAGATTGGGGGTGGACTTGCATGCCTGTTGGGGCCGCTTCTGTCCTCGGGCTTCTCAATGGATGCTCGACAAACCGGACAAGTGTTGTGTTCTTTGAGCCAGAGAGTGACGCATTCTTCATGGAACCAGTGCTTACAAGGCAGAAATGCAGCCGGGTCACCCACCTTCATATCGTCTATACAAATAGTGCATTCAGTTTTTGATTCACCTTCCAACATGGAGGCATCTACGGGCTTTCGATCCAGGTTGGCAAGTGCCTCGTTTGACGCTGGCGGCGCAGCATTCGATTGTGGATGCGCTTCCATGAGGTTTGTAATGATCTGATCCAGAGCTTCCTGTGAATAAACGGCATCTCCGGCAATCGCATGTGCCGGGTTAAACAGGTTTAAAATCTCTTGGAGTCCTCTCGCAAATCCTGGAGTAGGACCTCCTGCCTCCCGGCCTCCTACGGGAGGTGACACATCCCGAAGGACATTGGAGAAGAATCTAAAATGTACAACAGCTTCAATTAGTTTCTGAAACAAGACAGCATCAATCTGATGTAAACGACAAGCAGGTCAACTCACGTTTGGAATGGGTCGCCGTGGCGCTCCTGGCCAGGAGGTCCCGGTCCAAAGAGTCCCGTCCCAGTGCCAGAAAAGATGGTAACAGAGGCACTGCCACTTCCATTCGTGAATGTAGCGCGATGGATATGCGGCCCTCCAAATCGGCCCTCCTCCGGTCGTTGTTCGTAGGCATTGGGTCGTCGCGGGGGCTGGAAATCCTGAATCATCCCGAGAAATCGTTCAATCACAGGGTCGACGTTGGGATCATGGTGCTGCATTCCTGGGCGGCCCCTAACGCTGCGGCGGAAATGAAAGCCGTTCGGTCCTCCAAGATGTTCTTCAATATCAGCTTCGTCTGGGTCTGAATCATGGTCATGGTTGTGGTCGTGGTCGTGGTCACGGTCCCGGGGTGGGAATCTATGGCGCAGTGGGGGAGATTCCGGCTCCGAATCGTCGTCGTCATTCAAATCCCGAGGATCATTGTCTGGGCTTACCTATGGATTGGGTCAGTCAAGGTCAAGCAAGGCAAGGAAGAGAAATGGCGAGAGAAAGGCAACATACGATTTCTGTGATATCGCTGCCACATCTAGGACATAGTAACCCACGCTCATCGCGGTACCATTCTCTGGCGCAGGCATGGCAATAGACAACTTCACGACCTGCGTTCGCATCGAGGTGCCGATCTGCAGATGACCCGTCCATTTTGTCCCTGCTACCTGCGGTTCAACGCAGTCAAGGGGCCGAGTTCGGCCAGGCGGAATGCACAGCGAGCCAAAAGCAAACGACCAGCGTCAATATCAATGGCCGAAGATAGCCCAAGCAGTAGAGCAAGTAAAGCTGCAGTTTATCCGGTTCGTATGTAGTCGGTCAACAAGAGACGCTAGGTAGTAATAATGTCTCGGCTGGTATTAGTCAAAGAGGCGACCGGGGCGGCGAGAGATGGGTATATATCCGAGTTCGTGGGCCCGCAAAGATAAAAGAGTGAAGATGTATAAATCCCCGTTGGCGCTCATCAAAATTCAACGGAGGTGGCAACAGACACGCAGCGTGCGCGTGTTTATGATCGATCAGGAGAAAATAAAAATGGCATGCGATGATAACAGGCTCCTGGAGTGGGCACAGTCGAGGAATCAAGATGACGCGAAAATGGCCCCAGGCTTGCGGTGACAAGGCGGCAGCTTTCTGGGGTGGAAATCGTCGCCACGAAGTGATGAAGAAGAGAAGAGCAGAGAAAAGCAGAGAGGACGAGAGGAATAGAGGAAGATAGGAATAGAGAAGGAAAGGAAAGGACAAGAGAGGCCCTGCTAGCAAGGGAGATGAATAGGCGAAGAGCAATATCGAGCAGCGAGCCGATGCTAGTTGTATTTGCGTAACGCGGCCATGATTTGACGCCGGTCGGAAACAAGTGACGTTTTTGTCAGCGCGGAGCTTCTAGGTATCTACCACGGCACTAACAGTGTGTCACAGGCACTAAAGCTGCTATATTGCTACTAAGGAGCAGTGAATGGAAGCGTCTAGCACCTTTGGTCTAGTAGGCAAACAATTCCATTGATTTTAATTGATTGTCTCAACTCTCTCATCTAAAGAACAGCGGGGCTTGGACTCTGATGTTACAGTCCACACTGTGGTCTTTCGTTGGGCAAAACCGTACCGGCCAGGTAGATTATTGGCCGACCAATTGTGGTGCATTTACTGCGGTTTGTACGAGTGCGACCGAAAATCGCGGGCTGTGGTCGTTCATAGGCTGGCAGCCGCACTCTTGGGGGCCTGAATATGTTGCTGTTGCAGCATGCAGCACCTCCTTGTTATCGCACATTCGAGGATTGGGCAGAATTAAGCCAAGGCAGAATAAGTGATCCATGGATTTAATAAATGGACTTAAGAAGTCGAAAAAACGCCTTGCCTTGTATACATATGCGTAGTTTTTCTCTTTTGACCTTGGTTGTGCTCCTCACTTGTGATACAAAAGGTGATGGCATTACTTGTCCCTGTCCCGGGATTACCCATTTAACCAAAATGTAATATCCAAGTCTAATATGTATGATCTGCACTCTGTACTCTACCAACATCAAATGTTAATAGCTTGCGTACCCTTAATCTGTTCGCAGTTAGAGCCGTACCAAGGCTCCCAGATCCTTGCAGGCATCAATCTCACTGCTGCTGTACATACACAATGATCAATATTGTGTGTCATACCTGACTTGTCTTATATGTGCCTAGCCCCCATGTCAACCCGATATCAGCCTGCTTTTGGGACGGCACGCCATCCCCTTGCATCAGAACAACGCACCTCAGCCTTATCACCAAAGCCGTGCGAGCCTAACCTCCAGAACCAGCGAGACGGGGTAAGTGGAATATATTCCCGAGCCTTCTCTATAATTCCACTCATGCAGTACATATGCGTGGTTAGTGGGGTGTAAAGTGCTCCATGAGCCTCTCGGAGTCCATCGCCCGACAGTATTTATCCAAATGCTGCATAACAATGTCACCAGCACTTTGACAGCAACTCTGGAGCCTGTTGTAATAAATGCATGTAGCATATCCCGTGTTCTAGATCCGCGCCATAATACATCTCGAATGCAAGGCATCCGTAGGGCTCCAGCTTATCCCGGCTCGTGGCGGCCCAGCATGCCATTTGTCTATTTGTCTCGAGATACCTATTGTTAGTAAAATAATCTGCCAGATGTTGTTGTCCTAGATTAATCGATTTCCTGGCTGACTTAATTCACTTGACCAGTCGTTCTATCACAACTGACACTCGCATACTTTACACTCGCATAGTGCAAACCAGGTCGTAGGTTTCGGGGAGTTCAACGTTTTGAAATGTTTGCCTTTTGTTCGTGTAGAATTTGTACAATTTCGTCTATTATCCTTCTCCAAAAAAGAAAACTCTACTCCTTGCTGCTGCTTGCTGCCTTCAGCTTGTCCTCCTTGTCCCACTCAATCAACTGCTTTGACCAGCTTCAAGCAAAAAAGTTAGCAAAGACAGCCCAATTCCGACAATCACCCCCAATACAATCAAAACATAAACGTACTATCGGCTAGGATGCCACTCCCACGGCTCCGGCTTGTGCGCCCATCGTTCCCTGTCGGCGCTGAACTTCCACGTAATGGCGATGACGCCGAACATGGCGGCTCCGGCGATGAGCGTGTTGGCGCGCCAGTTGGCAGGCTGGGCGTACCAACCACCAGAAGGCGACCAGACGTGCTTGGGGTAACTGTGTCGGGTTTTCCACGATTAGGACGAGGCGTCTCGAGAGGCTATATTCAGTTGGGTTCGACGAGGTCAACTTACGGGATTTTTCCACCGCCACCCTAGGGAATAGTTAGCAAGCCATACTCTGCTGGAAATCAATGATGCTGCAGCTTACCATTTTGAAAATGTATCAAAAGACGTCTGTGTACGGTCTTTTGGCGCGCAATTGCTGCGGATAACTGGTCAAGTCTGCTATCAAGGCAAGCCTCCGAGAAGCAGGTAGAGAGAATGGTCCCGCCACAGCGAAACGAAACCACCGGGCCGAAGTAATTCCGGCTCGCAGTTTGTGGCGCCAGTTTCCCAAAGTTGCGAAAAAAGGTAGGCGGGCAGCGGCTCACACGACTTTTTGGCACTTGTAAGAACCAAAATCGACGCAGAATCTTTTTCTGACAAAGGCACGACGGGACAGCGACAAATCGTCTGATCCTTGCCTCAACCAGGACTTTTTTTTTTTTTTTTCTCTCTCTCTTCTGCAGTTTCTCCTCATTCTGTGCACCTCTTTGTGACCAGGCTGAGGGGCATTGGGGGGAATTCTTTTTATTTCTGTCGTCCCGCCTTACATCTTTAATTTTTTTTTACTTCACCCCCGCGAACCACACACATGAAGAGGATACGACCCTCACGATGGAGCGGCCAATTGCTCCAGGCCCGACGTGGCGCCGGCATCGCAGCAGCTAGACAGCCCTTCCTCCTCGCCGCCCGACCTCAATCGACGTCCTCGGCCGCTGCGCACGACTCTTCTTCTACTTCTACACCCATCGACTCTCCTCCTCCTCTCCCCGCTCCCTCATTCTCTCGAGCTGCCCAGTCGGCAAAGCTCGCCGCCCTACACGCCCGACTCTCCCTCTCGAAAAAGATCCCGTTACAGACGCTGGCCAGGGCGTTGGTGACGCCGTCCGCGGACGCCAATCCCAACTTCAACAACACAAACCTGGCGTATCTGGGGAGCACAATCGTCAACTACCATGTCCTCGAGTACCTCGTCTGCAAGTGGCCCCGCCTGCCCATGGCAATCTTATACGAAGCCCTGAGGGCCTACGCTGGTGACGCCTCGCTGCAGCAGGTCGCCAGGAGATGGGGTGTTGAGTCTGCGGCTGCCCCGGGAGAGGAGGTCGATCCGGGTCTGCTGCAGTGGAAGGCAGGCGAGGATCAGTTGGTGAACACACGGTGGGGCTACGTCCGTTCTGACAAGGCTCCCGCCTGGAGACGAGGATTGAGCAGTCGTGTGGTTCTAGACAACGACTTTGGCGATCAGGTCAGCAGTCTCGAGGCCGAGAAGCCGGAGTTCGACACCCTCCAGAGCGAGGCATTTGGATCCGTTGTCCAAGCTGTGATTGGCGCCATCTACACCCACTGCGGCCGTGAGGAGGTCAAGGCTTTTGTTAAATCTCACATCTTATCTCGAGAGCTCGATCCCTCAACACTCTTCGAGTTCAAGCTCCCAACCCGCGAACTGGCCATGCTGTGTGCCCGAGAGGGCTTCGAGGCCCCCGTCGCTCGTCTGGAGAGCGAAACTGGTCGATTGTCCCGCACTCCCGTTTACGTGGTGGGAATCTACAGCGGCAAGGAGAAGCTGGGAGAGGGCGCCGGCCCCAGCCTGGATGTGGCCAGGAGACAGGCGTCCATGGCATCGCTCAAAGCCTGGTACCTATACAGTCCTGGAAACAAAGTGCGGGTGCCCAGCGACATGATGGAGGAGGGCGCCAAGCCCTGGAAAGCACCATATATTGACATTGGTGAAATCATCTAAGCTGGTAATGGCGCTGCTTGCTCTACGGGTGGCAAAGTCCGGCTGGGCAGGTTCTCAAGTATATATATATATATACATGTACGAAGTGAATGAAGAAGCAAAAAAAGAGAAAAGGGCAAGGGAGCGATGGTCGGGTTATGAAGACGAATGTATGGAGTATGTTTGGGTTAGAAATGCGCCCCCCATCCACTGTATAATACAAAGCATATTGTAAAATAAGTTGGAAAACCATCCTCCTCTTGCACAAACAGGATAATACAATATGATATACAAGTCACAACAGATTCCCTTTTCCTCCGAAGGCTTTCTAAAAAGTCTTGTCTGTCTAGCTAAACTGGTCGTTGTGGTGAAGGAGAGCTGCCTCCCCCTTTTGCGCCATGGCAGTGTAGCTGTCAAGTCGACGCTGCGCCTCGTCCTGCTCGCGTAGCTGCTTTTTGCGCTCGTAGACGGCACGCACTGTGGCCCTGATCTGATCCTTTCCTTCATCATAGTTGGCGCGCGCAAGCTTCACAACGCTGTCTATCTGATCCGGCGTATAGACAAAGTTCCACGTGCTCAAATAATCCGTAGTGCCGGGAGAGATGTCAGGAACCTTGTCGTTCGAGAGAAGCGGGAGGTAAACGACGGTGAGCCCTGCGTCTGGCTCCATCAACTTCCACGAGGTGTCATCCGTGATGGGCTGTGTAATGGGCGGAGAGTCTGTAGATCGCTCCTCTGTTGTCCCTACCCATACAGAGCAGTAGCCGAGTTCACCAGCCTTTTCACTTCCGGGCTTGAACTTGGATTCTTCATCAAGCTTTGTCGCCGTGATACCCTCGCGCTTTGCGGCAGCCTTGCGAAGATCCTCCTGGGTAGCCTGAGCTTCTTCTACCCTCCGTTCTGCCTCGGCGGGCGTCATAGCCTGAGCTTCTTCGAGTTCCTTTCTTGCCTGCTCCGGTGTCTCGTCGGGTTTTGGCCAGCCAATGCCAACCGGCCACCCCTTGACTCCACGCTGTCGCGCATAACCATCCGCAACAGAAAGCCAATTATCCGTCTTGATGTCAGCCGAAGCATCAAAGGCAATGAGGATATCGACATTTCGTCCAGGCCGGAGCAGTGGATATATCGGCAAGTTGTTTGACATTCCCGCATCCATGAGCTGGATATACTCTCCGTCCAGAATGCTCCTGGGTGTTGTGCTAGGCAGCTTCCCGTACATCTGATAGGCGAAATTAGGGATAATGGCAGGATCTATGGGGTGTACTTTGCTCAAATCATCGTTTCGGACCGACACCAAGTCATCTATCGTCTGGAATCCCGTAATCGTTCTAAGAAGGGGTCTAATCTCCCGATAGTAATGGCTCAGCGTTGCGCAGAATGCACTTCCAAAGATGCCCATCAGAAGAGGAGTCCGTACCTCTGGTAGGTGGAATCCATGATCAGCCACATCTCGCCCATCAGAAAAGCGTCTACCGAGGGCCCATGTCGGTATCCCAGCAGAAAACTCCTCGCAAAAGAACTCATAGGGGGTAATCTCAAACCACTGAAAGTAAGGTTCTTTCTTTATCTCTTCCACCGTGCTCATTGCGGTATCTTGCTTTGGCGGGTCCTCAGACTCTGCCGCGGGGATTTCATGGCGGACAGCAGTGTATATGGGCATTGGACGTTGTCCATGCCGCAGATATAGACGCTGGTTCGACAACTTGAAATCTCTAGCATCAACGCCCAGTTCACCCCTTGGAATCAAGAACCTGGCACCCAGCAGCAGCCCGTATATATCGACGAGACCAAAGTCGGCATGAGCATCTCCCTTGAGCTTTTCCACCAGTCCGCTCAGCAAATACTTGCTTGTCGGTAAAGAAGTGAGAGATTGGAAAGCAACCGGCGGGTATGCTATGTGTGTAGATGCTCTCGCTTTCAGATGCTGTATAAGAGAGCCAACACTACCTTTGGAGAAAGAAGAAAGGTAGAGCAACTGAAGCCAACACGAACCACTCACGCCAGCCGTATACGTAACACAGTCGAAAAGTCCATCCTCATCTGTCGCAACCATAGATCCAGTGCCTGCTATCAGGGCCCGCATCCCCCCTCCCGATCCGCACATGGCAATCGTTGGCACATCATCGGGGTTGATGTCCTTTTCTTTAAGTCCGAGATAGTTTGCCAACGCCGCCCTGGTAATAAGTTTCCGCCTCAGCAGGTAATCCTTTTCCTCATCACATAATTCCGAGGAGACTCGGACATTAGCAGTGTACCGGATTTCGGGGTTGATCAAAGGGTCATGAGCCTCCTGCCATATCTCTTCCGCCAGCGATCCTGGAGACACCGATAGCTCCCGCTGAAGCTTCCTCACATACATGGGTATGTTTTTCCACCACTCTGGGGTAATGGCATCAACCAGCTTATCGGACAAAGCAGCCCATTCTAGCTCAGCCGTGGCCGAAAGGAATTCGAATTGCCGGGCAAAGTAAGCCCACGCGCCATTGTCAGTGGTTTCAGTCACAAGCTGGTAGGATTCCTGAAAGTCGCCTTCTCTTCCTTCTTCTTTCCTCCTCTTGGCCTTTTGGCTCTCGGAAAGGCGAGCAAAGTCCTCTGACGGGTACAGCCACCAAGTGAAGAGACCCAACGCAAGGACAGTTGCGGGTATGCTTGTGCGCTGCTGGTGTCTCCTTCGACGTTTTGACTGTGTAAAGAAGCTGCGGTCTAATTTAGCAGCTGATGCTGGGGGTTGTCGTGCTACTCTCAGGAGAGGACCGAGAGATATCAACGGCCGCGGCAATTTCACGGGATATCTCATGGCGAATGTATGATGATGTTTGGCTCTGAGCCACAGCTCACGACAACCAGAGTGGCAATCAAAATGGCAATGACATCAGTCTCGAGGCAAAGAAAAGACTCTTAAAGTGTGTCGTTGTTGATCGTCATTCTATGCAGGTCATGATGGTGAATTGAGAAAAAATGAAAGACGATGAATCTTAGAGACGGTGCAATTAATTGTGAGGTCTGGCGTGATGAGACAAAATCATTAAGCGTAGCTACTTTGCGTTGGCGTAGACGTTACGTCAATGTTAAGGTAGCTTGGTACCTTTGAGAATGCCGGCTGGACACGCCACTAAGACGTACTGTAGTAGTTTTAGCATGTGGAAGCCTCAAGCTTGGCGTCTACCTACCCTGTTCTTAAGGGCACAACGCTACCACTACGAGATTTACCGGGAGGGAAGAAGAAAATGAACCTATCTGATAGGGTTTGGGTGGTAAATGCACTGAATTGGGTTATCCTGTGTCTTATGAATGGAAGTACATTTGAGGTACTGGTTGGTGTCTCTGTGCAGCGGGCTAATGGTAAGGCAATGTAAGGAGAAGAGCTTGTTCCTTTCTAACTTAAGGTGTCCACCCTACCTAATATAGGTTGGGCTGACTAACCGTGCTGACTAACTAATGGGTACCGACCAATGGCTAACTAACGTACCTACGTAGTACCAGGTAGTATCTCACCAGCTAAGGTATTGGCAACTCGCAATCAAAAGTAAAAATGGGCCACCAGTGATGGAGAGTAAGAACTCAGAGAATACACACCCACTAAACGGCCGACTCCGAATTCCTGCTCTGTGAGACTCCCACTTTCTGGTGACCGAAACAGGGGGTGCCCGTCATCCCGAAACCGAGATCTTGCTGGAGCTGTAATTCTGCCAGCGCGAAGCCGTTCCGGCTGCCATTTCCTCACACTACTGTACGATCACAAGTCCCGACTACCTCTGTCAACTATGGCATCGATTGCGCGACCTTCTCTGCTGCGGCAGACTGCGCTGGCGGCTCGTTGCGTCCGAAACAACGCCATCAAGACTTCTTCGGCTTTCCACACCTCGACCCAGCGCTCTGCCTTTCTGCCTCCCGGACCTCAGCGAATTGAGGGCACAGTCAACGACCCCGTCCCCATTCCCAACCCCAGCGCCTCCCACGGCTCCTACCACTGGACCTTTGAGCGCCTCCTCGCCGCCGGCCTCGTGCCCCTCTCTATTGCTCCCTTCGCCGCCGGCTCTCTTAACCCCACCACCGACGCTATCCTATGCTCCGCCGTCCTCCTGCACTCTCACATTGGCTTCCAGTCCGTTATTATCGACTATATCCCCAAGACCCGCTACTCCGGCCTGCGAAAGATCTTCTGGTGGGGCCTAAATCTGGCGACTGTTACCGTTGGAGTGGGATTGTATAAGTTTGAGACTAACGATATTGGTGTTACCGAGGCTATTCAGAAGATCTGGAAAGCATAAAGAATAGTAATGCTTAAAGAGGGAGGGGGAGGGACTTCTATAATACCTTGCTGATTGGGAATAAGAAATTTAACCCTAAATCTTTTAGGCTGCTGGTAGTTATAACTGTAAGGGATACTATCTTATTGAAGGTGCTAAGGCAGGATTTTCATACCTATTCCCGCAGTAATCAATTTTGGCCCAATTAGACGATAGAAAATGAAAAATATATTATTTGCTTAGTAAATTGGCCCGTGATAGAAGTCCCAGGCAAACGGAGGATAGAAAAAGCGAGACCGCAAAATGAATAAGTGCATATATTCAGCAATATGAACACCTAATTAACTTCTATATTAATTACTACCTAGGCATTGCATTTATTAGGGAATACCTATTTAGCTAGTACTTGGGTTTTGCTATATAACTGTAGTAGCAGTTACTAGAGATATGTAAAGATGGTAGCAGTTACTAAAGATGTATAAAGATAGCAGTAGTTATAAGAGAAATATAGATATAATAGCGGTTATTACTTAAAGAACTGGCGGTGTATAATTGAACGTAGGGGTGTTTGAATTTCTCTCTCGTCTTGGTTTTTCTGTCCTCCGCTTGCCAGGCTGGTGGTGGGGTTGCCGTCTTTTTAGTGGAGCCCCAGCAGATCTCGCATAGATTTTTTGCGCCCCAAATAACTTTTTTCGTCGCGACGGAAGTGCTGCTCCAACCTTCTGTTTATCATCAGACTCGAAGGCTCAACCGTCTCTTTTCCTCCTCTTCATCTCACATCGTGTATTCCTGAGCGGCACGTGAATTCATCCGACAGGTGAGTTCCGATTTGGTCTAGCGGCAGTGCAGCTCGACGTTTGGCGGACGATCAGCATTCGCTGGAGCTGCCCTGCTGCCATCGCTGCAAGAGTCAGAGTCAGAATTACTCACACATTCGCCGCCTCAACAGATTCGCAATCACTACCCGCGATACTCCCCCCCAATCGCCAAGGCGCTACAAGTCTATAGGAAAACCATTCTTCGATTCTCTCCTCCCCAAAGTCATCATGAGCGAAGCAGAGGCTGTTCAGAACCCTACTGAGCCCGTGGCTCCCGTTGAGGCTCCCGTCGAGGAGAAGGCCATTGAGCAGCCCGAGGCTACTGAGGCTACCGAGTCTACCGAGGTAGCTGAGACCAAGGAGACTGAGACCAAGGAGTCCGAGGAGACAGAGAAGAAGAATGGTGCCAACATCCTCAAGACTACAGCCAAGATTGACCGCGACAATGCCTCAAACAACCGCAAGTTTGATCCCTCTGTCCGACAAGTGACCGATGACCCCGAGGAGATCAGGAAGCAGGTGAGAAAACGCAGCAAACCACACTCCCAAATGCCATCTATGCTGACTAGTGAATCTTGAAATTCTAGGTTGAGTTTTACTTTGGCGACTGGAACTTCCCCCAGGACAAGTTCATGTGGGAGACGTGCGGAGGGTCCGAGAACAAGCCCATGCCGATCGAAAAGATTCACTCATTCAAGCGTATGCGCTGCTTCCAGCCCTACAGCGCCGTTGTTGCTGCCCTCCGGGAGAGCAAGGTGCTCGAGGTGGTTGGAGAGGAAGGCAAGGAGGCCGTCAAGCGCAAGGTGCCCTACAAGCCCATGCCCGCCTCCAAGGCCAAGGCCGAAGCTGCCACCGTCTACGTCAAGGGCTTTGGTGACGAGCAGCCCGATACTCAGTTCGAGCTGGAGACCTTCTTTGCCCAGTTCGGTGAAGTCAATGGCCTGAAGCTCCGTCGCACCAACGAGGGCCTCTTCAAGGGCTCCGTCTTTGTCACATTTGCCGATGAGGAGACGGCCAAGAAGTTTATTGCCCTGGACCCTACTCCCAAGTGGAAGGAGCACGACCTGAAGATCATGTCCAAGCACGACTACTGCGAGGAGAAGAGCGATTTGATCAAGCAGGGAAAGCTGGCGCCCAACGGAACATCGCAGAAGAAGTTTTACGAGGGCAGGGACTTTGGCAAGAGAACCACCCGCAGCGGTGCATCTGGAGATCAGGATGACTGGAAGAAGCGACGCGACCAGGACCAGAAGGGTGGATTCAGAGGAGGTCGCGGAGGCCGTGGTGGCCGTGGCCGAGGTGGTCGTGGCGGTCGTGGTCGGGGTGGCCGTGATCGCGACTCTGGCCGACAGGAGTAAGTCAACCTGACTGACTGATTCATTGAAAACCTAAACTAACATGCTCATTAGGAAACGCGTGGACGCTGCCGCTACCAACCTGAAGAGACCCCGGGAGGACGATGCTGGTGCGGCCCCGGCTGCGAAGAAGGTTGACACCAAGACCGAGTGAAAAAAAGTTGCTACGCGCAAACAGGTTCTTAGTTTACTCGTTCGTCATCTCATGTTAGAGATGCAGGACGATTTTCTCTCTCTTTTCGGGCATCTAATCGTCATCATGAAGACGAGCCAACATGAACACGGTGCTTAAGATTGCACCTGGCTTCGGTCTACCCAAATCTATAGTTGATGGGTTAATATTGGGCGTGTCTTCCATTTTTGTTTCGTGTATCATATACATGCGTCGGTTTTCAATGGGGATATATTTCAACCGACAGGAAGCTGGGCTTTAGCTGAGATTGTAGCAGCTGATTAAACAAAAAAAATATACATGATGAAGTCCGAGATGTCTTATTCAGTCTATAATCCTGGTGCTAAGTCGGCTTGTTACCGTGTTGAATCGGCTATATGGATAATATACCTTACCTACTAACTACTGGCCTTACCTTACTACCTACCTTAGCACTCTACTAACCTTCTTTACAAAGGTACTTTTGTAGTATAAAAATGAATGACATCATGTGGTAGCTTTTGAAAAAGCGCTGCTGTCTTCTGTCATCTGATGTCGTATTGTATGTGCCTCCGCAAGAACTGGCAAAAGGTGACCCTTGTTTTACATAATATGGAAGCACGCCCTTCCATGTCAAAAAGCCCCCTTTGCTGAGTCAAGAAGTGATAAGAAAAACAAAAGAGATACGCAAAAGAATACGCCCGTGCAAGGTTCAAGCACGAATCGCGCTACTAACGGAGAGGCAACCCATTAAATCCGAAACGAAAACGAGCCCTCACTTTTTTGTAAATGCTTGCTCGACAACATAAATAGGCGTTTAAAAGCGGATAGAATTAAACCCCGATTCAGCAGTCCCGTCAAAAGGCTATTGCCATGGATATCATCTCTTTCAACTATTTCCGAGAGATTGCTTATCGTGTCAGATCTCTTTCTCTTTGGTAGGGCGTTGCTTGTTATTACTGGTAGCATACCATGCCATGTTAGCAATCGTATAACTCGTATATGGGTAGCATTAGTAGTTCCAAATTTTCAACGTATTGATAATCAAGGCCAACGGAGATTCCGTGGGTATCCAGCTTCGTTACCCCGAGCTTTCTGGCTAGGGGTCAAGCCGGCCAAAAAAGAGAAAAAAAAGTCATCAAGGAAAAGATGGGTTGTACTTTTGCCTCCCTAGCTGCTTTCGGCGCCGCATCGGCAAATGGAGATCTCTTCACGCCAAGGAGATCGGATGAAGCTGCCGCGCAGTGGATTCGAGCATGTAACGAAAATGCATCCATTCGGGGGGGCGCCTCTTGTTATTATTTCCGACTTTCTTTCTTTCTATTTAGTATCCTTTTGTTTTCTTGTTTTTTCATTCGTTCTGAGAATCTGCGCCAAAGTCGTTCGTTCGCTCCAACTTATTCAACTCTTGGGCTAGATCGGCTTTTGAGGTCGCGTGCTCTTTGGTTTTGTCATTCAACCTGACCTGTCTGCTTTACCGTTGCAATCCAAGTCTTGAGTGTGCTGGGAAAAGGCGATTTGAGCAGCTGAATTATACCCCTTTGTCGGATTGTATTCCGTCACAGCGCTCCTTTTTTGTAAAAGAAGATATCATCTTAGTGTCTAATTGACATGCAAACCCACTCTCGTCTCCCACACTGCTTATAAGTCGCTTGGGTCCTTGCTCCCAAGCATTCGATGAGGTCATGATGTCTGGATCAACCGCAGAAGCAGATTCCAAATCGCCGGAGGAAATTTCCTCGGCAGCTCCTAATCAAAATAGAGACGAAGAAAAGCATGGTCATCTGGATTCGGACAAGCATGAATACTCGACAACTCTTTCAGACTCAACGGGAGATGACGATGCATCAACCATCCACCATCCTGAAGGGGGTTTGCCGCTGTCTCGTGGGCAGTCCATGTCGCGAACAGTGTCCGAGATAAGAGACGGCATTCAGAATCAGAGGGACCTGGAGCTGGGAGAGGATGTCATTGAGAAATCGCCCACGGTCAGGCCCGACGACCCGAATCTGATCAAGTGGAACGGTCCCGACGACCCAGAGAATCCAAAGAACTGGACTCACAAAAGGAAATGGGCTGCCGTCTTCTGTGGTACGTGTCAGATCGCATCTCATCTTCTTTCACCATTATCTTACTGACGTTGTCCACAGTCTCTTGCTTCACCCTCCTCTCACCAGTTGCCTCGAGCATGGTTGCCCCTGGCCTCCCCCAAATCAGCAGGGACTTGCACATCACGGAGGAGATTGAAAGCGCCCTCGTACTGTCCATCTTCGTGGCTGCCTATGCCGTCGGCCCTCTGATCTGGGGCCCCCTATCCGAGCTGTATGGCCGAGCCATCATCCTCCAGCTCTCCAATCTGTTTTTTCTCTTCTTCAACTTGGGCTGCGGCCTTGCCAAGACGAGCGCCCAAATGTTCGTCTTTCGTTTCCTCGCGGGCATTGGAGGATCCGCGCCTCTAGCTATTGGTGGTGGTGTTTTGGGCGACTTGTTCACCGCTGAGGAGAGAGGAAAGGCCATGAGCATCTATTCGCTGATGCCTCTGCTTGGCCCGGCTCTGGGGCCGATTGCTGGAGGCTGGATATCCGAACGGACCACCTGGCGATGGGTCTTTTACAGCACCACCATTGCTGACGGTCTTGTCCAAGTGGCAGGTATATTCTTTCTTCAGGAGACGTATGCACCAGTTTTGTTGCAGCGCAAGAAAGCAGCCCTGATCAAGGAGACGGGCAACACCAACCTCGTCACAGAATACGACGATCCAAACAAGACGATTACCCAAACGCTAACAATTGCTTTGACTCGCCCGTTCCGCATGTTGGCCACGCAGCCCATTGTGCAGGTCATGTCTCTGTACATGATGTATCTGTACGGCTTGACTTATCTGATCCTCTCTACGTTCGCCAGCCTCTGGTCAACCCAGTATCACGAAAGCCCGGGCATAGCTGGTCTCAACTATATCTCGCTCGGCCTTGGCTTCTTCCTGGGTGCCCAAACCTGCGCGCCGCTCCAGGATCGCATCTATGCCGCTCTCAAGAGACGCTATGTGCCGGACGGCGGCCCCGGACGTCCAGAATTTCGCGTTCCCTTATTGATTCCAGGGTCGATTCTTCTGCCCATCGGCATCTTCATCTACTCGTGGACCGCAGAAGCACACACGCACTGGATCGGCCCCAACATTGGAGCCGTTGTCTTTGGTTTCGGCATCATCATCGGTTTCCAGTGTATCCAAGGATACATGGTGGACTCGTATACTCGATACGCAGCCAGTGCCGTGGGAGCAGTGACTGTTTTGCGCAGTCTGGCAGGCTTTGGATTCCCTCTATTCGCTCCGACCATGTACAACAAGCTCGGATATGGAATTGGGGGGACGGTGCTGGCGTGTATTGCAATTGGCATTGGATTCCCCAGCCCGATTTTCTTGTGGTTTTACGGACCGAAGCTGAGAGCTGCGAGTAAATTTGCGGCTTGATTGGGGGAAAGGTCCTTATAAATTGAATGACACTATGAGAGATGGAAAAGCGAGGTGAAAAGAAGAGACGAGAAAGGAAACAGAAGAAAGAGACGAAAAAAAGATGAGAGGAAGGGGATGAGGAAGGAATCAGGTAATGAATAAAGGCGAGGTGGCGGCAGGTGTAATAGAGGGGCACGTGATGGGGAAAGTCAGTATTATGATGATCAGGTATTACGAGACACATGGATCCAGGAACGTTCAAAAGCATCAGCATGGTTGGATTTCTACGTATATATAATGTAATGAACAAGATGATACAAGCCAAGAATGAAAAAGGAGTCTAAGATATCTAAATCTCATATTCTAAACACTTCCTAATGTAAAGAACAAGATGATACAAGTTTAGGATGAAAGGAGGGACTAAGAAATTTGAACATCATTTTCTAAACTCTTTCTCTGCTATATCTTTTCAACTCCCATAATTCCTGTATCTTCATTCTAACATTCAAACCCCTTTTATTCTCTAATTGAGTGATCCATCAACCTATATACGACCCTTTCCTCTTTTTTAGACAGAGTAATCCATCTTCTTATCTCCAATAACGCCCCAAAACTCCTCCACAAGCTCCTTCTGCCCACTCGGCGCTCCCCTAACAGCAAGATACTTCCTCTCATCCACCGACGGATCCCATTCCCCTGGGTTTCCTCCCGCCATGATACCTCCCGCCTCCTTGAGGATACACCAACCCGCACAAACGTCCCACGCCCAGCATCCACCCTCCCAATAGGCGTCCATCTGGCCCGCAGCCACAGCAGCAATGTTCAGCGCCGCAGAGCCCAGCGACCGCAGCGAGTGAACCATAGCACCGCCCGTCTCCTTGGTGGCGGCAAGCTTCTTGAACACTTCCGTCTTGAGCTCGAAGTTGTGTCCGTCACGGGTAGAGCCCCATTCAATGGCGATGAGAGCGTTGGCCAGACCTTCAAGGGGACGCGGAGAGGTGGCGAGGGGCAGTTTCTGGGGGGTCGTTCCCTTGATGCGGGTCATGTATGCGCCGTGGGACTTGATTGCGGTGAAGAGGAGATCCTGGTAGGGGTTGTAGATGACGCCGATGACGGGCTCGCGGTCAATGGCGAGACCGAGGGAGATGCAGGCGTTGGGGAAAGAGTGGACGAAGTTTGTTGTTCCTAGGCAAGATTGGTGAGTTTGAAGTTGAAGACGGAGAGAAGAAGGTAGAAGTTCCAGATTGCGGCAAAACTTACCATCAATGGGATCAACGACAAATGTCGGCTCCGGCCCAAGTTTAGTGCCAGGCTTGTACGTCTCCTCGCCCATGAACGAAAACTCGGGATACGCCGTCGAGAGACGCGACGAGACCATTTTCTCGACTGCCTGGTCAACCTCTGTGACGATATCGACGGCTATATATATATCACTCGTGTTAGCCCTTGAAATGCAACACACCAGGATGAAGCCAAGATGGATAGGCTTCTCATGACGTACAATTGAGCTTTGTCCCCGTGCCGATATCAGCTGGGTTTGCAGACATAATAGTGCGGCCGGCCTCGTACGCCACGAGCACCATTTCATCGTGGATGGCTTGCAGGTTGAGGTCCGCCATTGTGGATGAGCCTCTTTTTTTCTAGCACACTTTTCGAACTCCTTTATGTTGCGTAGCTACTTATCCTGACTTGAACTGTCTTTGAATATTATGAGTCAGTGAGATATCAGGAGTTAAAGTGAGAGTAAGAATGAGAGAAAGATCGCTGTTGGCGGGCGTGAGATGAAGATGAAGCTACGAAAACGACGGCCGAGGGGCTGCTACTGTGGGAACTGGAGGGGCAGCTTTGGGATGACGCTCATGACGTGGGGCCGGTCGATTGGCGATGCGCTGCAGAAGGACATTTTGCCTCAAAAGCTACAAAGTAAAAAACGACTGTGTAGATTCTAGGCTTTAATCAGACATTTGCCGCATAATTTGTTTTTCATTGGAAACCTCATTGAGTCAACCATTGCAAAGAGGTGGAAACAAGGCTAAGCATCTTCAAAAGAGAACGAATGTCATTTCGTGATGAGGACAAGAGAGGCTCCCTCTCCAACCTATTCCTATGTAGTCATGCGTACAATTCAAAGCTCCCATTTTCCACATCAAATTAATCATAAAAAAAAGTTAAAAAAAAAAGAAAAGGCCTCCAAGGTACCGTATCATGAGGTAATAAAACAAGTTTTTTCGTTAAAGCAAGCCCACCCTCAACATACCGCCTTTTGTTTTCCTTGTCCCATTGTGGCCCCCCTTTGCTCCTCTTCCTCATCAATCATCTCTAGACGTCTTCTCGGAATATCGATCGCCGTTCAGCATGGCTGCTGCCAGAACTGCCCGGCCGATCGCCCGTCCCCCTGTGTCCTGCTCCCGCCATGTCCATCGGTCGCGGACTGACGCCCCTGAGGCTCACCTGCGCATCATCGTCAAAAGGGTTCTGACGGCGGCCAGCCTCAGCTGCCGTCGCTGCTCCAGCGTCTCTGCTCGGTCGTCGCCCTCGCTCAACGTCCTCTTCGAAGCCTGCATGAGCCGGCGGCGCTGGGCCCAGCCGACTGCCGCCGTAGTTTGCACCGGTGTACTCGGTGTGGCCTCCCAGCTCCTGCTCGTAGTAGCCGTATCCGTCAGCCTCGTTGCCCACGCGCGAGTCCCACGCATCGTCGGGGTCAAGCGGGCCAAAGCCGCGGTTTCCGGAGCCGGGGCCGCTGTGAAGCGACTGCTCGTAGGCGCCCGTTGCCGAACGATCGTTGCGGTGCTTGAACTTGCGCGTCAGGTCGTTGAACCAGCCGACGACGCCGCCGCGAGCCGGTCTCGGTGGTCCGTAGGGCGTGTCTGATTTATGCCATGGCAGATACGACGATAGACTCGGAGGCGGAAGCTATGCGTTTTGCCGTGATTAGCCATACGTATCAATAAACCGTCGCAGCTTTGATGTTGTGCTGCCGCCGCTCCCGAAAGCTCTGCTTATCCGTGGTTGCTATGCGCCGCCGCAAAACAAAGGAAAACAACAAGAGATGGAAAGGAACAAAGACTCACCCCCAATCTCCGCGCTCGTAGCTGCGAGAAAACAACCCATCCAACAGCCGCCGCCACCAAAATCACCACAATCGCGATGACGATGCCTCCTGCGGTGGAAACCATGATCTCCTAGCCTCGTTTCGTCTCTGGATCTGCGTCCCCCCCTTGCCGAAGCAAAACAAAGAAAGACTTGAGAGTGTGAAGCGGTATAGAGAGGCAAAAATAAAACCTCAATCGACAGGTCGGCGATGCGCTCGAGAAAATCCGGGCATCTGCTGATTTCCGTTGTCGCTTTTCAACGCACAAGTTGCTGCCAGTGTTGCTTGGGTCGCTTTGCTAGGAGGAGCCTTGAATTGAGTGCGGGTAAAGTCACCTTGGGGTCTGGGAATGCTGACGTCGAGCGACTTCCGGATTGGGCACCTTATCGCTGCTATCGGGGCCAGAAATACCTGAACTTGGTTCCTGCGCCTGGAATACAGGGGCCCCCCCTTGCTGCTTTTAGCGACTAACACCGCTCAGTCATCCACTGCTATAATTAATCCGCCTCGAAAAGCCTTCAATCCATCCAATATTCATCGCAGCTCACAAAAAAGTAAGCAGCAAGTCTACTAATTAGCTAACTACTGCTATGACTAGTAGGCAATTTGATGCTATTTTTAGCCCGCAACAGCTCGCTTCTTCTTGCCAGCGAGTAATTAGATCAACATCTGTTCTCTGCTCTATTCGAGGGTTTGGTCGAAGAAAGAGAAAAATCTTCAGATTGCCTCTCTATGGGGTGCCATGTGAGTTCTTCTTAACCGACATGTCAGACCGAAGCTTGTAGATCTAGTCTAGGCCTGCGGATATCCTTCGCCTCCGCCGCCTTGTCTGGTTCTAAAATTTAATGCCGAGCAAAATAAGCAAAATAGAATGAACATGAAATAAAAAAGACAAAGCTAGTCATCAGAGGTATCATCGCAAAATGTTCACGCATCAGCCATCATAAGGGCACTCGTTCCACAGTCCTCCGCTCCGCACAAACTTGAGGCTGTCAATAAAGCCGCTCAGCTTACACCGTCCCAGTCTGTCGGAATTGCACGTCCGTAGCGGAACCACTCGGTCGTTCAGGATGACCCGCACTAATTCATCGCTTGCATCGCTACACTGCATCTTCTCCAAGTACATGCGGGCGCCAAATGGCACCGCCCAGGAAGCAGAAAACCCGTGAAGGCGGCGAGGTGACAACTTGTACTTGAGAGGCAGCTCCATAGTTGAGTTGAACAGCCCTAGGGCGGCGAAAATGGAAGACATTGTGTTGTCGTGTGAGAAGTCCGCGTACAGTTTGCTGTTCAGAGGGAAAGTCTCAGGCGAAGAGTCGAGCGTTGAGTTTGTCGTGGTATCGTCGTCCACAGGTGTACCGGTAAGCCTGGCAATCAGCTCGTTGCCAAATCCAACTCCCTGAGACGGGCCCAGAGGATTGCCCTTGCCGTAGCCATACCATTTATCCAATGCCTGGAAATAGTCGTAGCTTGCCCACTCGTCCATGGAGAAGAGCCTGCAAAAGTCGGATGCCACGAGGCTGGTGTTTGCCATTGTGTTGAACGGGCACAAATCCATCATAAAGATGGTCTCAGTCAACGTCAGATTTGCGCCTGGCAATTTGCTGTTGAGCCTCTTGGTAATGGCAGGCCCAAAAACTCCAAGCCAAACCTTCTGGTATGTGGCCACGAGTTCGGATGAAGGGCCCTCTTCAAAAGCTGGGCACGATCCGTGGTTCAGCGTGTTGTTGAATCCATCTTCCTCGGGGAGCACCAAAATGCTCTTTACTGGGCTCGAAGCGTTGCGATCTTGAGCTTTATAGTATCCCTCAACAAATCTCTGCGCCGATACAACTACTCGATCTGAACCTGATGCTCGAACAAAAGGATCAAATTTGGAGGCCAGGTCCTGGTATCGCTGGAAAAATGCAATTCCAGAATCAACCATCTGTTGTTCTCCAAACAGAGTGAGATCATCGGCGCCAAGGTGATAATCGTAATCTTTCAGAAACTCGAATCCCTTGCCGTAGTCTTTGACATTGCTCTGGATACGTAAAATCATGTCCCTGTAGAAGTCAGACTTCTTCTGGGTAGGCGCTCGTGCTCCATGCCGTGACAGAATCTGAGCAAACGTCACGTTGCACCCGGATGGGGTTGATGCATCGATGGTAGACGGGACAGAAAACACAGGCGAATATTGGCCCCAAATATGCGATACATCCGCCGTGCAGTTACCGACTGCCTCGCAAGCTGATTGTGACTTGGCTCGCCTTTCAACGCCATCTGCGTTAGCATTTCTCTCTCATGCTCTCCCTTGTTTGGTTCTACGATTCATGGCTTTTGCTTTTCATACCCAAGTGAGACCGTGGTCAGTAAGATGGCAAAAAGTGCCATGCCTCCGAGTGACATTTTGATCAGTCTTGTCTGCCCCTGTGATGATGATTCGTAAACGGATGCTCGCCGAGTCAGCGTCTGTCGACTTGGCACCTCCGCCTCTGGCTCTGGAATCGCGCTATATTTGTATGTGTCCCGCGACACAGCGCCCCTGATGGCGGCTATGATTCTGGGCGCAGGCATGATTCCGGAAGGTCGATATACAACATTAGATGGTTACTCTTGGCGAGACGTGCAAGAAATAGCTTCGAGCAGCTCGGTCAGCCGCGAGAGTATAGCAAGAGAGACGTGCTTGAGATGCGGCAAGAGATTGGCCGAGCCGGCCTGCTCAGGCGCCAATAACCAAGAGCGGAATCGTATATTCCTTACAATCAGTCCGTGCTTCCTCTGAATATGGAGAAAATGACGGTGGAATGCGACGCTCCGATCTTGGCTTGGATGAGTTGGGAATGGCTGCACTTGGCTTGGCTGAGGCTTCATCCAGTACCTGGAGGTTGACAGGTGAAAGTTTGGCTTATGTAATACAGACGGGCCAATTAGGGCAGATTGCTCTATGGTACCTCAGATCCCGGGCAATCTGTAGGAGAGTTTAGGTACCTGGATACAAGTCCATTTATTGGTGTTCCTGAAGAGCAGAATGAACAATGGAAAGGGATTTGAATCCTGCATGGTGCATCTTGTGATGTCTTGGGAAAACTGAGCCAACCAGCGCATTGCATTGCATTATCCAGGCCACGCCAATGCAGCGTGTCACTGCCCAAGGCACCGCTCGGCATTTTGTGTTGGGCACTAACACGCAAATGCCGAGTGCTCACCATCCAAGACGATGGTGTTGACTTCTGTCTATACCTCTCTCTTAAACCCATAATACACCACGCATGAAGCCGGTTCCCTTCTTTCTCTCTATCAAACACTCCATTAAGTCTGTATATGGTGTATTTCCTTTATTTAACAAGTTTTCACCCAAAAAACGCCCAAAGTGATTCGCTGGATATCGCTCAGCTGCATCCGTCACTTATCACCTCCAGTGGTATAATCCATAATCCATGGGTGCATTAGACCCATTCCATTCTATCCCAGCCCAGCCTATACCAAGCCTGCCCTCATTCATTACCCTCCAATCATTCCACGTGGTCTATAATATGTGGTCCAGCACATGAGTAGTTTGTATATACATTAGTAGTAGCATCTCGCGTATATGTACGAAGCCCGCTTTGTCACATGGCGAGACCGACATTCACCGCACTCGACCCCCGGGTGCTATTTTTCCCAAATGTGCCGCTTCTGTCGAGGAAAACGTCATCCTCGTCTCTTGATGGAGTGCTCTGCGGTGACCAGGCCGTCGGTACACTACGGTCTCCATCATACATCGACCAACTAGACATCGTATCAAACGTGTCGGTGCTTTGTCTGTCTGGCCTTCTAGGCGGGGTTGCGCACTGGTAGTATCCTTCGTTTGCCTTGAGAGGAAGCGGTGAATTCGTAACAGAGTCCAAGCTCTGGTTCCTTGGTCGCGTCCTCTGGGACAGCATAGTAGAGAATCGTGAAAACGATTTCTTCTTCCGTAGTGGTGGTGGTGTTGTTGGTGGTCGTAGCCTGAGAGGCAGCGGCGGGGGAGGCGACGGGGAAGATTGCTGCTCTCGTACCGACTGTGAAAACTGCGTGCTATTGAGCGTCTCCTCGTACTCCTCCAACTGGCTAATGTGCATGGAGGCTGTCACGGGCCAGGCATTGGGCAGCGACACCTTTGTGTTTAGGCGCTCAGCAAATGAAGGCGCCGCTGGTGGCAGCGCAGGAATAACCGGAACTTCCGCCGCGTCTGTGCGAGTAACGGATAAGCTTGGGAGTTTTGTAGGGAATTCGAATTCATTGTGTAGACTTACCAGGCAGAGTACGGGCCATTGAGTGAGCTGTTGATGGTCTGCTCGCAGTGTAAAGGCTTTGTCGCTCGATGATGTCGTTGATCTTTTTCTGCAACTCCTCCACTTCATTCATGGCGGTGGCCACTCGTTCTTTAATACTCTCCATGTCAGATGGCGTATAAGTCTGGGTGCGAGCCTGCTTATCGGAAGCGAGGTTCAATGGTGATACTTCTGGGCTGCTTGATGATGAGCGAGCAGCAACATTTTTTCGAGGAATATGAAATGATGTTGATGTTGATGAATGGTTTCTATCGTGATGAAACGAAGGGTCATCGTAGGGCCGGCCTGGGAGATGAACCAGAGATGGCGGCGTCATCTCACTGGAGAAGTTGAAATCTGGAAGTATTGGCGACAGCTCTTTTCCAGAACTTAGAATGTTTAATTGCAGCGGTTCAAACGGAGTTTCAGGTGTGTCCGGCGTCAAAGGGCTCTCCCATGGGCGATTGGGTCGCTGAGCGGGAAACGGGAATTGGAATGAGCCGGAATCAACATGTCGAAATTCGAATGGCGCCGAGATGTGTAACCGAGGCCGTGAAGCGTCTGCCTGCGCCCTGCTTCTCGAAAAAGAGTTTGACTGGTTTGATGTGAATGTCTTTTGCACCTTTTGCCTCCAGCTAGGCCGGGGAAGCTCAGCCTCTGGTACTGCCATTGGCGGTGGATGAGATGTTGGTTGATCGCTGATAATGGGACAGAGCCGCTTATTGTCGTCTGAGGTCTATCCGTAAGTGAGAGTTCTCAAGCTCTCCCCATCTCCCAGCAGCGAATGCAGTGAGAGCGAAAGAGAAGGGGAAAAAAAAGATAGGTAATTTCTTTTGGAAAACAAAAAACATACGACGCAGAGGTCTCTCGTCAATACGAAAAGCCAACGGTTCCCAGCACGTGAGGCAAGACAAGCATGACGCATATGCTTCACCAAAAACACCCGTCGAAGCTTTCATACTGGGGAGAAAAAAGCAGCCTCATGCCGACTGGGCCGGCAAATAACTTTTTAAAGTAGGGGAGAAAAGCGAATGAAAGACCGTCCAGCGAGCCGATGACATAAAAAAAAAAGAGGGCAAGGTAGATCCGGCACCCCGACTGGAAAGTTCAAAAAGAGGGCCGGGTGAGCTCGTAAATACTACTTCGCATCTGCAATAGCGCAGCTCACCCGACCAGGAAACTGGAGCCCTTTCTTTACCATTTTCCAGCAACCAAGAACACCTCGACAAGCCCAACAGGTGGCGGCTGAGCAGCGTTGATGGTGAGCCAGCAGGGCCAAGACGATGATAGGCTGGGCCACAAAGGAGACCGTCCAGTCGGCGCGTAGAACGCTGCATTCGGATGGCTGGCGCTACCCACAAGATTGCAGGATCCACAGACGGCGTCAGACGGCCGGGCTGGCACAGCGAGTCGATGTCTTGCATTCGCCACGGATTCTGTCGTGGCTTTGCTCCAGATGGTCCGAGGAGGGGTCGCGTGGGCTGCCGGCATTGGCCAGCCACGACAAGCCCGGGTTTCCCCTGGTTAGAGGACTAAGAAACGCAAGCCGTCATGGGCGACGCCTGGCGTTTGCATGTTTCGTGAACAAAGGCTTGAAAGGGCAGCGTTGTGAAAAGAGGAAACGAGCCCCAGGCGAGATGCGAAACCCAAGATGGGCGCCACGCAGCTGAATCTTGCCTCATCCGGACTGTCGTTTTGCTTCTTTGGGCCGTCGACGCTCGATTGGCGCGCGCTCGTCACCGTTTAATTTCTCACTTCATTTGCCTTGTCGCCATCCAAGGGAACCAGCTTTGTTCCAGCCAGCGCTGACACACACCGTTGTCGTTCGTCGTTGTTGCGATTTCGCAAATTGGACGGACCCTCCGCATTCCGACGAGCGCCTATCTTTAGCAACTCGTGGTGATGATCATGATGACATGGGCGACGCAGGCACGCAGATATGGTGTGAACAGCTTCGTGACTTGACTCGAGACTCACCACCTGACGCCCAATAAAAGAGACAGCATGTAATACGATTCTTGCTGCGGCCAGTGGCGTGGGGAGACGAGAGAGGCCGCGGCCAACAGAAAGTGAGGATACGGGCAAAGCCATTATGCATGTCTCAGTTTCTTCCACACTTTCCGGATCAAGCGCACCTATGCCATGCCGGTTATAATGCCATGGGTCTTGCTTTCTTCTTCGTTTTTTTGTCTCTTTGTCTTAGAATAGCCTTGATGGTGGAGACGCAGCATGTGAAAGAAGAGCCGTAGAGAGCAGGTGAGATTGTGGTGCCACAAAACGAAGCATGGGATGGCTTACAACTGAACCTTTGACTTACAAGCATCACAAGAAGTAGGTACGTACCGTCTTCTGCTCACAGCCACAATAAGTAATAATTCCGCGGTATAACCGATATCGCATACAATTCTCGTAGCGTGCGATAACCTTGCTAGGCTTGCCTATCCTGGACGCCTGTGAGGCGGTAAAGCTCGGCAGTATACCAAAATATCTGAGACTTCCGCGGCGACGAGCAGGCGTAAATCGGCAGATCAAGCTGGACGAATCCGCCGAGGCTCTTCAAGATGGGGAAACGAGCTTCAATCGATACCGACGGAGCTGCCGCTTTCCGAAAGCGCCAGAAAATCACCCACGATGTTCCTACCGGCGAGGATGTGAGCTCTGGAGAGCAGCTTCGAAGCCTACTCTCGTTCGACCAAGACATGCGCCGAGCAAGACATGGTGAGTTTAGAGGCCTATTTCGCAGATTATGCGTCTGGTGTGGGAATTTTGGGAACTGATGGTTTCAACAGGTCTACAATCCTTCAAAAGACTTCTTGACAACATTGTTTCCGGCGATGGTGATCGATCTGCGAATCTCGGCATTTTACGAGAATATCTCGAATTGGTCAAACCAAGGCTCGAGGGCGAGGATGCCGTCTTTCTGAGTGATATCATGGAGATGTGGTCATTTGCCGCCCAGGTGAATGAGGGCGGCGTCATGTCCTCTGTGGCCGTTGTCCTCGCACTTGTGCTTAATATCGTCTCGGATTCATTAGAGCTTGTCAAGCACGGACTTGGTATCTGCCAATCGCTTGTACAAGACCGTCAGCTCAAGTCAATATCGAAAAATCTGTCATCGGACAAGACAAAAGGCTTCATCATATCGCCCACACTACGCCTGCTTCGAGAAGCTGTATCTCTGGATGGAGGCGCCTACGCCAGACGGATAGTCCGCGCCAGAACCTTTACTTTCGCGTCACTCGGCAGGAATTTGGAGATTGGTAACACTGGAGACAACCAAGGGGACTCTCGTAAATCAACAGTGAGAACAAATGCTGTCCGGTTCTTCTTGAGCTGTCTCAAGTATTTGCACTCTGACGGCCGCAAAGAGTTGCTCTCTCAGAAAGAACTGCTGTCACATTTGACGTTCATGATCAAAAGCGACCCTTCATCTCTTGTTCTGGAGATTCTGGACGGTTTAAAGACTCATGTGTTGGCGGACAGCAAGATCTCCCGAGAGATCAAGTTCAAGTGCTTCAACACCAAGACTCTGATGCGAATTCTGGCTCTCTATAGCTACTCTAACGGCACAGAATCAGAGAGTGATGTCGATCGAGTCGGCGAAAAGGCCCACGAGTTTCTCATGTACGTCTGCACCAACCCGGGTGCCGGAATCCTATATCCTTCCACGGGCCTTTACCCTAAGGAGACGAATGAGGAGTTTTCAGTTCAGCTTGCCAAACAAAAGGGCTCAGCGCATAGCACTTTGGGCAAAGACGATACATATCGCGATGGAGTCCCCGTTTTCAATTTTGTCCTATCCGAATTTGCGGCGAAGCTACGTCCCTGGTCCAGCATGAAGCACAGCCAGCTATTGACAGCGATATTCGAAGCCGCTCCGGAACTCATCTCAAACTACTTTTTCAACAACCAGTCGTTCACTTTTGAACCAAAGTTGACAATGACCTGGATCGGATATGCTTCGTTTCTCTTTGATACGATGAGGATCCCGCTTCCCGCTTCATTCGGCGACAAGACACGCTTCGCCCTTGGCCCTCCTCCTACGTCTGTCGTCCTGGATAATATTCTACCACTACCACTAAATCAAAAGGTTATGATTCGGTGCCTTTCGCCCAGCTCAAACCTGACGTCTTTCTTTGCGACAAGGATGCTAGTCGAAGCTCTAGAAAAGCTCTCAGTAGCCATCAAGCTGCATGAAGAGGGCTTCCGAGCAAAAGATGCCAAGTGGTCTGAGGCAGCTCGAAGATTAACTGATGCATTCTGCAGACGCATCCCAGACATGAAAGAGATTGTTCGAAGTTATAAGGGCATACCCAGTGAGAATGCATTACATAAAACCATGGCCAGCAGGCTTCTTCTCTTGTATTATGAGATGATTCCACAAGTTGCGCTGGCTGCAAACTTTGACGTCTCGCCTTTCTTCGTCAGCGTTCTACGGAGCTTACAAGATGGCAACTCCGATAAGCAGCACGACGGGTTCCGTGAGATGGAGCTCGAAAATCTGGTGTCGATGGCCAGCTACTCTCCCGGTATGCGATGGTTTGCGAGAATTGAGATTCTCACCGGTAAAGGCCCATCATCGCCATTCACCGCACTCCTCAAACTCCTTTCCAGCAGCGATCGGACTGCACCCCTTCATCAGCTGAAAAAGGTGCTTGGAGATGTTGCTGTAGAAAATCAGCTTGTTTCCTCAGCTACCAGACTAAAACCTCTTCTTCAAGCCCTTACATTGAGCATAGACGAGAATAGCCCAGAGAATATGGACAAGGTCTGGTCTTTCCTGGATAACTGTATTAGCCGTTGCGCCACTTCGCCAATCAAATATCTCGACGTGCTTGAGAATTATCTTGATGGTGGGAAGGGCGAGGCACAAGCAACGACTGATGATCGCAGCTTCAATCTGCTTGCTGTCGCCATAGCGGAACAGCTGCCCTTCATCATTAAGTCCGCAGATGCCCAAGAACGTGATTCACTATCAAGCTTCATATCACTATACTTCAGCGCATTATATAAGAAAAAGGGGAGCGATGCCCTTAAACGGGTTTACACAAACATTGAAGAGTGTTTCATCACTTACTCTGTCAAGCCCGCAGGCTTGGGAAAGCGAAAGATACCCAAAACGTCATCTGGCGGCAACCAGGAGGGCGAAGACGATGACCAAGAGGAGACAAGAGAAAGCGCTCAACAGTCATCAAGTGGATTGGACCAGGCAAAGCTTGAAGAAACGCTGCATATTCCATTTACAAGCCCTGAAGATACTAGCGTTCTTCTCAAGTGGCACAATAAAGCCGTCGAGGATCTGATTGAAGACGGCTTGATTACAAACCTAATCCGTCTCCTCGCGTCAGAGCACATCAACATTCGCAAAGAAGCCTTGACAAACATCCTCAAGATGGCCGCCAAAATCGATGAATCGGCCTACGAAGAGAAGAAACAGGTCTGGCTACTCCTATCCGAACTGGCCGAATCCTCGCGGCCACAGGTCGACAACGGCCCCGTTCCGTCAGCATTCATCGCGTTTTCCATCCACGCGCTCGATATTCTCAAGAACCCGCTCCACCCGCTCTACCCAAAAATCAACAGCTTCCTGACGCGCAGCCCCGTCTGGTCGCCCGAGAAACTGCCCCTAGCGCACGACATTTTGCACGGAGAGCCCTCGGAGGACGACAAGTACTACACCGAAATCGCGTGGTTCCTGACGTACATGCTCGACGCCCTCAAGACCCCCTTTGACCTGGGCGTCTTCCACAAGAAGCGCTGGCTTGAGAAGATGCTCGCCCTGGGCAGCAACCCGTACTTGCGCTCCAACCTTCGCATCCGCATCCTCAGGATCGTGTATCGCGCTACTTGCATCGAGTCCGGCAGCACCACGCTCATCACTAGGTTCGGCCTGCTCACTTGGCTCGATGCTCAGCGCGCTGCGTGCGGAGTTTCCGACGACGCCCATCTTTACAAGGCGCTGATGGAGAGGGCGTGGAAGACGTGTGACCAGACGAGAGTCAATGCGTGGAGTAAAGGGGGTGTGGAAAAGCTGCTCGCGAACCTGCAATTGCATCAGTGAAAGGAACGAACAGCTTGAGCTTTTGTCCAGCTCGATTTTGTCATGTAACATGAGATGAGATACCCAGGCCTCCGTTGAGTGTAAATAGGATGGATGGAATTGGAAACAACACTTTGGATTGCTTCATCTTGCAGGTACTTTTTACCAATATGCAATTGGTCATTAATACTTTGGCTCTGCGGAATAGATATATACAAAGAAATAGAAACGATCACGAATTACTTAATATTATATGATGATTATCGTCTTCCGCTATTACAGCTTCGTTCCAATCACTTACGATATGAATACTAACATAAACTTCAACACGAGCAGCATGATAATAGTCGCAGCGTAAAACATATTCGATTACTCAGAAACTCCAACATGCGCTCATACATATATACATACAAGGCTCGTTCCCTCATCCATTCTAAACCTAGAAACACCAAAAAATATGAAAATGAAAACCCATACGATGCATATAACATTCTCGCTCTTCTCCAATCTTCGCTTTGATTTTTCGCTTCGTTGCCTGGGCTAAGCAAGCCAAATGAGACAGCGATGTATGACTGATTGAATACCCATTGAATAAAGAAAGTGGTCGAAAACAGCACCCCAATTAAGAAAAAAGAAGAAGTTAGAAACCTCTTCATAATTAAAAAGTTATGCGTGGATCGGATGTTGTGATGGTCAGCGTTGTCGCTGACACTACTTTGCTATGTTTTGCTTTTCTCCTAATTATAGCTGACCAGAGAGGAGAGCCTCAGTAGCTAGAGAGAAACTTAGTTAGCCAACCTGAACGTATGAAAAAGGGGGAGGAGACGTTGAGTTGTAGGACATACCACTATTAATATAGGCTCTCTTCGCATCAAGGGGAACGTCGAAGCGGCGTTCCAATTCCTGCTTCACGCCCTTCTTGGTAACCGTCATCAAATCTGCCGTCTTCAAAATCTCACGAATTTCCGCCAAGATGGCATCATCGCTGGGAAGGCCAACCATGTCCTCTGGGGAGAAGAATTGGGATCCGCCATACTGGCTCATGCGGTTCATCTCAGAAGGAGCCATCGACATGCGGGACATGTTGCGGGTTTCGTATGGCTGAGCGTGAGTCGCGGCCTGGATGAAGCCCGTTGTGGAGGCGGGCCGGCTGGGATAAGCATACTCTGACATGGCGCCGTGAGCCTTAGTTCCGTAGCTGAAGCCAGAGATCTCAGAGCGAGTGTCATCCCTAGAAGTCTGCGACTCCCAGAGCTCGGCCTGATACTCTTCCCACTTCTTCTTCGGGATAGATGAGGGATCGAATT